GACGTTAGCCCCACGCTCCAGGAGAAGGTTAACAACATCGACATGACCTTGATCCGCAGCAGTTTGGAGAGCCCATCCGTCTGCGGAGTTGATGTCAGCACCAGCATCTAGAAGTAGCTTGATTATCTCGATTGTGCCGTCAAAGGCAGCTGCTGTCAAGGCATTCCCGTATCTTTAACTCACAGTTAGCTCGTTATGCCTCTCGACTATCTCGGTCAGACTTACACTTCGCCAGTTGCATTCGCGTTAGCTCCATATCTCAACAGCAACTCCACCGTCCTCTGATTCTCAAAGTCTGTGGCTTCATACAAAGACTCGTCTAGCGCTTCAGGCGATATATTACCCTGAGAATACTCCCACATAGCTCCCAAGATACGAATCTCGTCATCGCCATCTTCTCCCTGTGCTGTTTGTAGGAAGGTTTTGTCACAGCTCAAGCCGGGACAATGATCCAGGATCAACGAGACGATGGCCCAATGGTCCCCAAAAGATGCCCCATCGAGAGCGTCCTGTTTGAACTGCTGGTTGTGCTCAAAGTCATGGAACAGCCGCGAGAAAGCTTCAAACCGACCGTATTCTGCAGCTTTGACGAGGGCGATGCCGAACTCTTCAGCAGGTAGTTTGTCGGAATATTCCTTGATCAGAAACTCGAACACTGCAAGATCGGCTCTCATAGCTGCTAGAGCCAAAGGTGATGTGATAACCTCCTCCTCTTCTTCTTCGTCGGAGTCAGAGTCGGAATCAGAGCCCGACTCTGAACCCTCATCCTTGTCACTCTCCTCGTCTCCATCGTTGTCCTTAGCTTCCTCGTCGTTAGCCTCTCCCTCGCCATTCTCGCCCTCAGCCTTGTCGTCTTCGTCTTCATCATCCTGAGTGACGAGTGAGACATTATGGGTTACCAGAAGCTTCACGGCGTCAGTGTTTCCAGACTGAATAGCCGCACAGATTACACCTCCGTAGGCACCACAGCTAGCATTTGGGTTCGCTCCTCGTTGTAGAAGTTTACTCATAACCTTGACGTTCCCTTCGGCTGCTGCTCTGTGCAAAGGAGTTATGAGATTGCCCTTGATGCCTTCATCGATGTTGGCGCCTCTGTCAAGAAGCTCCTCAGCAATGTCATCATGCCCAAAAGCGGCTGCGTAATGCAGCTACGTCATGTCAGCTCATACACGTTGCGGCCCAGAGTCTCATCTTCTCCTCTCCAAGGAATGCCATCACTTACCGGCGTGTTATAGTCTGAATCCATCGCGGCTTTGTCCTCATCGAAACCGTGATCCATCAAAGCCGCGACCAGGTCTCTAAATCCAATTGTAGCAGCAACATGAAGTCCAGTCAGCTTCTCCCGAGCATAATAGGCAAAGGATCCGGTAAGTCGGTTGTGTTCAGTCAGCCAACGGCGTCGAATAACTGAATCCGCCTGCCAGAACTTTTCCTCCAGGCTCAATGCTTCTGCGAGATCAGCAGTCGCTTGGCTGGCGTGAGATAGCCAATGCGTGACAGCATAGGCCAGGGCTATGTCTTTGAGATATGGAGCTTCAGGATCTTCATCCACCTCATCTTCTTCGTCTTCCTCATCACTTGACTCCTCCGAGGCGACAGAGGCGTTGTCGTTTTCGGATTCATCGTCGTGATTAGATTCATCGTCAGGTTCCTCTTCATCCTCTTTCTCAGCGGCTTCTTGATCGTTTGCTTCTACTTCTCCAGAGGCAACACTCTCCCCGTCATCCGGACTTGCTTCTATAGCACCAGCGACCTCACCCACCACTCCGTCTATTTGCTGAGGAATATCGGAAAGTGGAAAGTCAAAAGTCTCTAGGATATGACTGAAAGACCTGAAACCCAGAATACCATGCTGTAGCTTGATATCTTCGCTGGTGAGACCAAGCAACACATGTGCGTACTCAAGAAGATGGGTCTTGACCACTGGTTCAGTGAAGCACACTGTCTTCTCTTGGAGACCATTTTCCTTCAGTACGATTAGGGGCCTACACTTCTGAATCAGATCATGTAGCTCTGAAACTTCCGCTGGCGAAGAATCGAGACCAGCAAGGAGACCAAGCTCAGCCTCAGTTGGATCTTGATAGGTAAGGACCAAGACCCGGAGCATTTCCTTGATCTCCCCGGCCTTACCCCGGTTGTTATCAAACACTTGTTGCCATGCAGAACTGAGCAGAGCATCCAATTCCTGTGGAATGACCTCGAGGAGACGACGGACTTGAAGGTCGTTCTGATGCTGAGGAAGCTCCTCGAGATGATCGCATGTGATGTCAATCCATTGCGTGTTCTGGGCCCGCTTGCCAATAACACTACTGGCAAAGTATGCAAGAGCTCTGCTGTACTTCTTATGCTCAATCAGCTCTAGCACCTTGTTCTGCGCGTGCCTACGAAGCTCGAGCTGGACTTGATCGCCATATTTCGCGTCTTCAAGATCAACTAGTCGGACGGTATCCCTCTTCAAAGCCCGGTCAATGTCCCAAGATTGGCCACTTGTGATCATCCATCGAACAAGTGGGCGCCTTCCGGTACCGTCATGTTCGACCTCGGAGCTGAGCAGGGTCAAGAGAGTGTTTGTAGACACGGCATCTTGAGAGAGGGTTTCGATGTTATTGATGACAAAGTATACCCTCGCCCCAATAAATACATCGTCAGCGAGGATATCTTGAAGGACCTGCCACAAGTTCTCTACAGTCAAAAGAGGCTGTGTTTCTCTACCTTTCTTCTTGAGAAGAAACTTGGCATGCGTCGCCAGAAGCCCCTGTCGTTCCAGGAGTTGGCGAATGAGAGCTTTCAACAAACTCTCAGCTGATCCATAATCGGGTGTCTTGTCGCAAAAGAAGTAAGAAAGATAGTTTCTCGATGAGCCTGTGTATGGTTCATCTGTAATCTCCTCTTCGTAAACCTCCTCATCCTTGGTCAACTCTTCGATCTTTTCAATAGCTGATAACGCAGCGCTTGTTTTGCCGCGACCATCACGGCCACGGACCCAGAGACAATCCTCTTTCTTGACAAGTGACGTATCTTCGCCCTCTCTGGGTTTGGCTAACCAACCCAGAAATTCAGGTTCTTTCGAGAACCATGGGGAAGTGGTTGTGTTCTGGGCAATGCTTTCCCTCTTGCTTTGGACTGGTGCACCCTCTAGAGTCCGTAAAGCAAGGTTTATAGTGGCTGGATCGGTGCGTCTTGTTGCATTGTGCCGATTCTTGACTCGCAGATGTGAGCCGTTGATGAGTCGTTTCAAAGGCCCTCGAACTAGTGTGTAGCGTTCATCCTTTGAGCTATCAAACTTGACCAAGTCTCGATGATTCGCAGCTAAACCCATCGTCTCCATCACACCATCCAGGATGGATGAGTCTCTCGTGACGAACTCTGCATACTTCTTGGGCATCGGAATGCTCAGCGCCGTCAAGAACTGAGGCATGCCAGAGAGATCTTTAATCGTCGTAGGGTGCTCTTCGTAGAACCCACACAGCTCGATTTTGGGCGTTGTCTTGATGACTAGTCTCACGAACTCCTTCCGAAGCTCAGCCAGGCTTTCGTCGTCTGGTCTCATCAACTCGAGGAGTTTGGAAGCTGTTGCATGACCAAGTTTCTCTCCCACTGACGAAAGCATACATGCTAACGAAGCTGCTTCAGCGCCCTTGAAAGGTGTTCCAAAGAATGCGCAACCGGCTATATCTTCGAACATGTTTGGGAAGAGATCTTGTCTCGTAGCAGCGATACAGATAGCCTGGAAGTCAGAACAAGTAGACAGCGTCAAAACGATGAATCATACCTTGGCTATGACAAGTCCTCCCATACTGTGACCAATAAATGTGATTGGACGAGGAATTGCCATGTTCTAGACTGCTTGTCAGGCCAAACTCTTTGAGTCAAGTCGAAAGACGTGGAAGCATACCTCTCTACTCATCTTCAGCCCCTCGAGCAGAGTCTGGGCCAGGTTACCGAGAAACTGCTTCACCTTGATGGAGCCAGTCCATGAAGATTCACTGTGATACAGAAGAATTCTAGCGTTTGGAAAGTCGCGAGCTATGCCCTCCTCACTGGCCCAATTAAAATCGCTCGTAGTCGATTTGAAGCTCAGTAAAGGATGAGCTCCCAGACCAGGCACAAATACAATACTGTTAGGGCGTTAGTGAGTCGATGGATTCGGTTATCATGATGTGGGTTGATGCTTACTCCATGTCTGTCTTTCTTGTCGAGTCTGACTCGGGATAGAGCTGCTTGATCCCCTGCTCGACATTCTCATAGCCCTTCTTCTGCTTGGGAGCAGCCCCGGGAGGGCCGCCGCGTCGTGTTGCTGCTCGACGAAGCGACATATTGGCCAATCCACTTGAGAGAGTGAGGCTTCAAACGTACGTTGGTGTTGATCTGGCAACGTTCACGCCTCCTAATTTTCGTCTTACGGAGGAGTACGTAGTGGCCACTACAGCTCAGCACCCGTTTCATTCTTGGCCCCCACATCTTGGCTTACTGGGGGTCTAGTCTATGTATGTCAGCATTTGCTGAGCTTTTGACTCGGCGTTATGCGCTTAACATTCGTTCTCCAGAGTAAGCACTTAGACAGGCGATACCTCGTTAGTGTCTCATCGATCGAACATGGCGCCACTGCCCGGTCTGGTTGCTCCTTTGGGCTGAGACGCAGAGTGTGCCTAATTAAAGAAATTGGACCGTCAGCACGGCACAGCGGCCTATCCCTTTTCTCGAAGTGATAGGTATCTGTGGGCACAGAGCGGGCCGTGTGATCAAGACAATGGGGAACGCCGCTTACAGGCCAATCATGGATGGTGCTATCGGCCTAAGAGCATGGGTTGCCTACCAGCCCTGGCAGCCTTATGACTGATCCTTGCCAGCTCTCCTCTGTAATTTCCACTCTTTTCCCTCTCTCTGTTTACGCGAGCTTTCCAAGAGACTCGCCATCGTTGGGGCTTTCGTTCGTTCTCTATTTATGCTCCTTGAGAAGCTTAAATCTTACAACGTGTCGTTGATACTAATATCTCACTATGGCTAGTCCACCGCCGCCATTTACGGTCCGCATCTTACAAAAGGACTTCCTTAGTAGCGACGGCTTGGAGTCAAAGGATGAGTTTAATAGCCTTCTCCCTGCCAGCAACCGCTTCAACGATGACATTGTCGTCCCTACATCGGACCCCAACTTCCTAGAGCGGGAACTATCGGTTTCGCGCCTCAATGACGTGCAAGAATGGCTCTGGGCTTGCGGGCGCCCAATGCCGCCCCGGCCACTTCATCACCAACGGCTCATTTCACGAGAGATCGTCATCAGCGAGCTCTCTGAGCTGCACATGATCTGGTGGAGAAACCGCATTTTTCTCAAGCCTATACCGGCTTATCTACTTGACCCCGACTTTTGGGTCAGCAACATCAGCGACACAGCCCATCTCGACGTGGCCGAAGGCAACATTGATGCCTCGGCGCGGGGATTTCTTTTCTCCTACACTGCGCTCATCGCATACAAGAGCGACTTTCGCATCGCAAAGGAACATGGATTACTACCCGAGGAATCGACATGGGAGGGCTGGAAGGCATTATCAGCTCAGGTCCTCGAGAACCACCGTTACGATCGCGTCAATCCGCGCTACTGGTACGGCGAGCTGCGGTTGAGCAGGTTGAACAAAGTCTACGCGCTTCGCAAAGGATATTTGTTGCGCGGCTACTCACGAGTCGCGTCGCATACAGTCTACGGCGATCTCATTCGCGACAATTTCTCGGTGCTTGCTGGTATCCTCGGTTATGTCGTGATCGCGCTCACGGCGATGCAGGTCGGATTGGGTGTTGATCGGTTGGTCGAGAACCAAGCGTTCCAGGATGTGAGTTACGGGTTGACAGTGTTTACATTAATTGTGCCGCTCATTGGCGCGCTCGTGATTTTTTTCTTTATCTTCATCATGATTGTCAGCAATTGGAGGGTCACCAAGGCATTTGAGAGTCGGCGTCTAAAGAAGATGAAGGTAAAACTCTTACGGAAGAAGTAGATAGAGCATCTGCCAAATAAAATATAATTAATAATGAACAATCAATTCATAGACTCGTGAAGCGTCTTGGCTAATAAAAATAACAAAGTTATCCTCTGTTACGACAAAAGGTTGAGTCGTCTGTTACCTCTCATACTGGTGGTATAATATGATCGTTATGAGATGCCACAGAGTCCGTCGTATAGATGATCACGCTGGGGATCGAACCCAGAATCTTCTGATTCGTAGTCAGACGCCTTGCCATTGGGCCACGCGACCTGTTTCATTGATAGTGGCCGCTCAAATGAGGAACTAGATCGCTGCAGCATTCAGATTCGCGTATCGAAGCATTCAGGTGTTCCATAGAGAAAGCTCTTGTTGTTCTTTGATGTTCGTCTGGTAGGCTTAACGGCGCGAGTCTAAAATATCTTCGCGGTTGAGATCCGAATCATCGACCCATAGGTTCACAATGCATGGATGGCGCTTGTTAACTGGTGGGAAAACGAGACACCCCACTCAGAAGCCGATGTATGATATAGAAAATACGAAAAGTGTAAAAAGCTTACTGTCTAAATTATGGTCTTTCCCATTAGTATATACAGTGAGCGGGGTTATTAATAAGGGTTCAGCACTAAAATTGCCTATTGGTAGTGTTTTGTAGGGTAGGTAGATGAATGAATGAGGCGCGGAGTCATTCCGCCGTCTTCCGCTGCTGAAACATGTGGTCGTGAATGAGTCCATTATCTTGTTAGGTATACTTCATCGACAAAGGGTACGAGCTGACGGATAGTTTGAGAGATGGATTGGATCCACCAGAGTTCCATCTTCATTCCTTGAATAACGCATGGCCACTATTGCAGTGCAGTGCATACGGGGAGGGTTGATACACACCAGAAAATGCGACCATAATGCAAAAATAAATTGATCTAAAGGCTTATTAAGATATAATAAACTCAACTACTTCTCGTTGTTGCTTAGGATAGAGGTCTTGAGCTTTCCTGCCTCTGCTAGCTCTCTTGTAGAATATTCATACACTTGCCAATTACATCGTCACGATGACCACCAACACAACCCTGCCTTGGCTGAAATGCACGAGGAAGATGGTCCCAGGACCACGATATCGATTAAAATGTTTCTTATCGTCATATCTTACACTATAACCCGTCAATATCCCCAAAGCGTATCTTCTTTCGCAGCCTTGATCAGCCACTCACGGCAGACATAATCCACCCGTTTCGCGTGCATTGGAATCTCAACAGGCGACACGTCTAGAAGCCCAGCTGGGTCGTGAATATTTCCGCCTCCCGTATCGATGATAGGTGAGCTAAACTCATGGTTGACAATGACAATCTTCAAGGGCCGAGCATAGGTCGAGTCACCTCCAAACTCGGGATTCCAAAGTTCGCTGCCAATAGACTGCTTAATGTTCCAAGTCTGAACACGTAGCAAATACGGTCTTGTAATGACGAGTTGATCGATGTTTCGGTGTAGTGCAACATTGTACCAAAGTCCTTCGTCACTCAGGTTGATGCTGAACCCAGCGACCTTTCGTAGCTTTGGCCAAATTTGGCTGACATTGAGCTCGCCATTCCAGAACTCTAATGAAGGCAGGCCGCCTAAGGTGACGAATTCTTCCAGGTTTACCAATGCTTGTAGACCTCGAGAGAAGACTTGATCAATGTGCGCATCGATGCTATGTTGCATAGCGATTCTGCGAAACGGCAGGTCAACGATCAATCGGCGGATAGAGCCGCCAAGTTCCAGAAAGACATCACGGACAAGTGCGCACGCTCGTATGGACTGGATTTCCTCGAGGCCGAGTCCGAGATAGATGGACGACACTGCAGAAAGTGTGACGGTTTTGGGGAGAGAGTCATGGCTGCAAGTCTTGGAGTAGTTTAGGCAGCGCAAGAATTTCTGGAGTCGGGGTATCGAGTCAAGATGTATACAGTGCTGCCGTAGAAACCTTGTCGCGGGCTCATACGTCGCGCGGCATACCCTTGTCCAGGCGACGAGCTGCTGAACTTGGGGGGTTGCAACGTCAATAATTCTATTGGGCTCACCGGGCGGGATGGACGTTTCAAGGATCTGAAGGACGATCTCGAGAGGGATATAAAGATTACGCGTCATGTTGATGGCGTATAAGAGGTTGGTGTTACGTATCCATTGTTTGTTGCGTTGAGGCCGAAGCCCTTATTAGGAGGCTGTTGTTTGGTTGCCTGCTAGGCTACGGTTTAAATGTCAACAAACAACGGCTAATTTCCAGGTACCTAGCCAAACGAGATCGACTGATTCAGGCACCAGAATTAATTGTGCCGGCTATAACTCGGCCATCAACTTTGGTGGAACAGGTATTAGAAAGCGACCAGCGACTACTAAACCTGTCTGGCTGTTTAGTGCTTGTAGGCGTGGCGATCAACTGGGTTCCATCCAGGCGGGGGGGATGTTCTAGCGGTGGAATCGCCTCGGAGCGCAATACGGGACCGTCCTTCTTTCACAACAACTACGCCAGATAATTATGTCGGGATACGGTATGGAATCAATTTTTGGATATGTAGCTCTTGATCTGAATGGTAGATTTTATAAGCGTAAAGTTGATTCATGGCAATGGCGCCCCGAGGTACGTACTGCAGCAGATCCAATGTGGCATGCCGCATGAGTCTATCAGACGCTGCCCGCGAATGAAATCATTAAATAAGATTGTACTCCGTACAATAGCCGGCGGAGCTGATTCGGCGAAATGCGGACATGTTGCGCAGCTTGATCAAGGTATGGATTGACGCCATAAACTTTATAAAAAAGATCTTGACGAGACTTTTACTGAATCATTAATACTATAGTTCACCCACTCAAGAAAGCAATTCCTCGCCAAGGTAAACCGTTCTAGCGTCAGTAATGTTGGGCGGGGACCCGAGATATACAGCAATTATGGGCGCTCGCCATTTCGATGTCGAGTTCGAATTGCCTGGAGGTCAACAGATGGCCTGGCCAAAGGATATGGCTGCTGCTGATCGACATTGGAGGGGCTTTCGCTGGGCTGTTGAGAATTATGGTACCCTGGCGGGTATGTGCCAGCGCCTGTCCGCGTCTTTGAAGCATCTGGAGAAGATGCCATCAAAGAAGTGTATAACGTGAAGAACATGACCACTTTTGGAAAGTTGGTGCTTAAGCATCCTTTGAAATGATTGGCTCTATATTGTAGACAGATGCGAGTTGTACTAAGTTTTCTGGGCTGATTTAAGCTCTCAGCTACAAGTCTCAACTGCAGACAGCATGTCTAGTTCGCTAACTTGAACGATTAGCATCGGATTCGGGGGCGATGGTGTATCATTTTAACCACCTTGTTCACTGGTATGATGACCCTCAAAATTTCATACAATTACACGTAAAGCATAATGATCACTGATGGGCCAATAAGGCCACCTCATCATGGATATCGGTGAAACCCGCCATTTGAAATTGTGAGCCCTGTGGCTGAGAGCTTATGATCACCACGCAGAACTCATTAATGGGAGTGGAAAGTGTGAAAGGTGGAGTTGAGATGTAGCCATCAACCATATAAACAGAGGCTTTGAGACAAACTACCCACTTTCCATCAACATCATCCCATCAATCTCAACTCACTGTTTCACGGCCACTACCATTTGCCAAAATGACCACGCAACCCAACCCTTCCGATGAGTTTCTGTGGTACGAGTACCTCCAGAGCGACCTCTTTTGGATCTTCGCTATCGCCATTCTATTGAACTATGCAATTTCAAGCCAGCAGATCGACCCAGAAAACATAATAAGGAGAAGACTGAATTCCTCTCAACCGAGCATTGGTCCGCCTCAGACATACCGTCCCCTTTCGATGTGCCATCGGCAGTTGATACTTGTGGAAGAGATCTTAACACGGCCCAGAGCACTTGGTTCCCTCTTGTCGTTCAAGGACAGTATCAGGTCACGCTTTCACCAATATCTTAGCCTCTTGCTCTTCACCTCGCCGTTACCTGTTCAATTAATCTACGGCTCTTATGTCTTCAAAACTATATGGCGATTGTCCTCTTCGCTGACCAAGTTGGTGTATCCGGATAGCATCAGGCCACGTCTGTTGGGCATTATCATCTTTTCTCCAACCGTTGGGACTATCCTGGCGGTCTGGTTGATGGTAGTTACTGGAGGGGCCACGATAATAGGGACACAGATTGCACTTTGTGTCGAAGTCTGGAAGCTCGAGCCCCATGCACGACCTGCTCTTTGTTCAGTACGTAAAGAGGAAGTTTGATGAGGATGAGATCTGGGAGGGCGAAGGAGAGCCAGCCTCGGTTACATAAGCTATCTTAGCGACCTAAATCTCCGCGAACCATCTCTTGCTCCCCGCCTGGCTTCGACACCAGATGGCCTGGGAAGGATTTGCGAAGTTAACCGGATTGAGGGCGAACTTGAAAGGTCTCTGGCCTCACCTCCTGATATAAAAGGCAGGCCCTTGCAAACATGAGCACAAGTCTCGCCTCCTTCCAGGCTGCCCATAAGCTAGTTCCTGTAGGATGTCATTTCTTATGTTGAACGTCAAGACTTTGGTACTGTTATGAAACGGGGCTCGCCGATAGATGTATGATGTCTCATAGGGCTTAGTAGCCGTGGAATCGCGAGGACCCGGTCTAATCGATAGGTGCAGAGCCCGACCTTGTAGACCTGGTGCGAATGGATGACGGGATTCAAGGGATTTGATGTATTCTTGGAACCCAGTATGCTTCAATTAGATAGCTCTTTTAATAACTGTGTTAAACCCCACGGCAGGTCGTCAAATGATAAAGTACCACTCTCTAATCCTTCAAAGACTTTCTCGTAGATATTCGCCACCTCCCAACTATCCCAAACTCCTTCACGTCGATTCATAGACCGTAATATCATGATAGATCTGTTCCGGATTTCGGCGTCTGTACACGAAGCGCAGATTGTAGAAAGCTCGCGAACTAGATGGCCGTCGAAAGCAAACATTGGCCGGGTTTGAGAGTTTTCTACTGCAATAATCAGCTCAATCTTGCCGAGTATTCTTTCGTAGTCGCTCTTCGCGAAACCTGTATTGTGAGGGTCTGTATTGAGAAAAGCTGACCACGTTGTCTGATACAGCGACAACACAGCCAAGCGACGTTTCTCCAAGGTTCCAAAGGGATTTATCTGGACAGACGTGACAAAGAGTTGCATCTTTGAACTCCATGAAAGAAAAAGGGGGTTTATTAGATCGAGGGCATGGTTGAATGACTCGGTGGCGGATTGCGCAAGACTCTTGCAGCCGATTATTTGATCGTCTTCGGGTAGAGTGTCACTGCCAAAGAGGCAGTCGTCGAAGAAGGTATTCAAGGCAGATAGGGAGTCTTCAGCCTGTGCTATGGTTAAGAAAGGCGTTTTGGGATTACCCATATCTATCTCTGGGGTGCACTGAGTGATTTTGGAGAAGGAGGTATCTCCCGTGAAAGCACCGACACTCTTTCCCAGGGAGGAGAACATTGCAGCCAATGTTTTCAACAATCCAGTGTCTCCTGGCTGAAAGCTCATTCCGTTCGGTGATGTTTGGGGTGATCGAATGGTGCGTAGTGATTCTAGAAGCTGGTGACCGGCGCGAAGATGGCGCACTGAGTCAGCATAACGACGGTGTAAGTTCTCGATGCATATAAATATCGTACAGCATAGTAATGCGGTTTGTATGTTGGGTGCAGAATTCTCTGCCATAACTGGGCGTATCAGGGCAATAGCTTCGCTGTATTTGAGATTCGCTTGATAGTCGTAGTCGATGGAATGGTCCACCTTGTTGAGGTTCCCTGGGTATGACGCGAGGAACCGCTGATGAGAGGCCCCCAGTGCACATAATGCGTGTCTGATGGCAATATTTGAGTGGGAAAATGGTAGTATGATGTCGTGCCAGAACTCTCTTGAGCCATCAATTAACTCAAGGTCAGGGATCACCCATTCTCTTGTATGGTAATAGAGAGCATTATCAGCTGTATTGACCAATACTCCGCTTGTCAAAGCTGGGCGTATTGTACTGGGTCCGCTGGTCACATCATCTGACTTCGTATGCAAGGGCAGCTCAAAAGAGGAAGTGCCGCTGACGTAAAGAGGCTCAGGACTACTCTGCGAATAGCCATCGCATGTCCATTTGTCCCTCAAGCAACGAAGGCAGGACGGCTTTGCTTCGTCGCATTTCAAGTGGCGACGTCTGCAACACTAGATTAGTCTCACAGCTTGTGCCGTTCGCTCTTATCCGAGTAACTGACTTGCTAGATTAAAAATCAGCCGGAGTTTCTTCTGCCGACCCGAGGTCACAGAAACTTACCAAGTTTTGCAACCTGTTCTGACCTTGGGAACCTTGGCCCTGGTTCGCTTCTTCCGTGGTTGATCTTGAGGTTGTATGGTGGCCATGGTGATCCATTTGTTACGAGAGGGCTAACCAGAGCTACATATCGGGGAGCCTGAATGGACTTATAACATGACCAGTATGAATAGAGCTGTGCTAGCTCGTGATAGTTGACTCGTCCAAGCGTTTGCTGCAGCCCCCATGCTCTAGGGCCACAGTAGCCTGTAAGCTCATTGGTACTGCCGTAACTCGACCCACCATGGGCCGCTGTTTCATGTCGCCGACTCAGCCGAGAAGCGAAATGCTTTTAAGCGACTTTTCCTTTTTTGAAGATGGATATTTCGTATTCCCGAGGGATCTAGCTCGTGTCAAGAGACTACTTGCCACATTTGTACTAATGCGTGTTTTGAGTGACAGTTTTGTCTTAATTTATCCCCACGCTAGTCCTCGATATCCGGACTACAGGGCTAGCCAACATCACAGCCACCACGGTTATGTCACAGCGGTATTGAGGCGCCCGATAGTCATTGGGCATCTGTGGCAATACGGAACTTGACTTCCTCCCATGCTGAACAGCGTGATGAAGTGCGGAGGGTTTCCCCAAGTGGTAATCCCTGTAGGTTAAAGATATGCTTGGAAATAGGATTGGAGCTAGGCGTCATTTGGATTGTTACGACAGATGCAGAGCTATCATCACGTCTTCTCAATGAAGACTCTCAATGGCCAAGTCATGGGGCCCCGTTGCCAGTTTCTTCATATTATCCAGAACCACGGTTCTATCATTATAAGTAGTCAGATCTTGCTGACGAACCAGAATGGCAAATCAACAATCACCATGCTTCAGCTTAAGAAACTACCATGGTCAACAGCCGCCGTTGCTCTAAAAGCAGTCATCGTTATTTTTGGCATCCTCCTTTGTTACCAAGCCTACACATTCTACGGCGAATGGAACTGGCCGAAATCTTTTAGTTATGTCACTAAGCAAGATCCTGTTTCCCTTGTTCACCCCCATGGTGGGAGCCAATGTTTACCCTCACTGGACTCGCCCCTTCTACTAGAAGCCAAGACCATACGAAATGCATGCCGGCATATGCCTCCATACCCATCGTCAGACGTACGAATCGGAAGAGTTACTGCACACTTTGGCTCAGTTCAGGAACACTACCAGAAAGCGCTGCGTACACATGTACTGCACAGCATGATCCATGATAACGACCTGGAGGTTATGTGTACTCCAGTTGTTGATTCACTCTGGAACAAGCCTGCCTTCATCCTGTCTCTCCTCTTGAAAGAGATGGTGAAGCCTGCCCAAGAACGCTTGGAATGGCTGTTACGGGTGGACCGTGATACCCTCATTCTCGATCAGTGTCGCCCTTTGTCGAGCTTTCTCTCGCCTCGCGAGAGTGATGAGTCTGACGAAACCGAAGACACCGACGCTTCAGAGCCCGAGCGAAGAGACGAGACGAATCCCGATGACATAAATCTCTTGGTGACGAACGACTGGAACGGACTTAACAATGGCGTTTTCTTCGTCCGGGTTAATCAGTGGGCAATTGAGCTGTTCAGCGATATCGCTGCATTTCGATACTACGGGCCCAACGTCCCGCTTCCATTTACGGAGCAAAGTGCGATGGAGATCATTATGAACGAACCAAAGTTCAAACCCAACGTTCGAGTTGTCCCCCAAGAGTGGTTCAACACGTATCCTAAAGGCTCGGCCACCGACTTCGTTGAGAAGGCGGACGAGGATGGCTTGAAGGACTATCATGCAAGACGAGGGGATTTCCTACTACATTTTGCAGGCAGAGGTGGAAGGGATAAATTGATCGATGAGTGGGCCGAGATGTTGGAGGGTACCAGAAGTATATGGCCGAAAGAGGAGGTTCAAAGGAATGCGACGAAAAGCATTCGGGGGTTTTGGTCCGGGCTCTGAGCCGTGGCGTTGAGAAGCGATCCGAATCAGGTCTCATCAACACATACAATTAGAATTTAGATCTCAGAGCATCCTTGTTATCGATTACTAATTTTGATATTAAAAGAGTATGCATTTACAACATGCCAGGACCAAACTATGTTGCTTGCATCTATTACTGAGTTTACCAGGGACACAAGCACGCCCGCTTACCCCATATCTAAACGTATGTATGTAATACAGCCTCAAGCAGCCTCTTTATATTTTCAGAAGTAAAACAGACAGACATATGATATAGTTAAGTTACAAACGGTGCAAGTCTTATCCTTTACCACGAGTACCATGGTGTTGTAGCCCGGTTGATCGTGAAATAGTGAGCGCTGTGTTGGCAACTCAGTACCTAATTACACTGCCAGTTATTATCCAGTTAACACGGTTCCGTGGTCTAGTTGGTTATGGCATCTCGTTAACACCGAGAAGGTCCCCGGTTCGATCCCGGGCGGAACCACGTTTTTGCCCCATGCCTGTCCAGTCATTCGCATTTTTGTCCCGGCCTGATGTTGAGGACATTACCCAGCACACTGGATCATTGCTGAGCGGTAAGACCTCAGGTGAAGCGGTAAGGCATCTTTTTATATTGAATGCCCTCTAGGTATAAGAGAATGAGCTGGACAGCCGTGGCTTGAGACACCTTCCACCAACATCTGCCTCGCCCATACCAAGCAACTGATGAGGCTTGCCTGAAAACGGGACAATGCAGTCGCTCATGGAGAAGAGAAACATTCTTTAGAATTCAGGATCTGCAATCAGCCTGCCAAGACCGGTCGTTGAGGCTAGACTCTTAGTGGCGTGAGACGCACGAATCAACGAGAAATTGTTTCGCTAAGTCCATGGCGTCCAATAACCATAAAATTAAGCCTTTCAGCCTCATAGGGGAAGGCATGCTGCTAAGCCATTTGCGACTTACTAACGCTCCTCAAATTCAGCCCTACCACTGATTGTCTTTGTCTCGGGTTCATACTATGCTTCATCCGGCAGCCAGAAACGAGCTGGTGATGCGTGACATGGAGAATTCCGCGTAGAAGGACTCACACGACAAAAATGAGGCTGAGGAGCTGAAAGCCTTCAAAGGGAAGACTGAATTTGAGTTGCAAGTGGCTGGCTGCGACGATGTTCTGGGTCCTTGGCATCTAACTACGAGTACAGTACCCACGCTAACGACGGCGAGTTTTGAGTATTTAATACAATGCTATATCCTGCCATCACCAGATTGTTCATCATTGACTTATCGAGATCTACTCAACAAGGTTCTGCAATGAAGGCCTATTCTCTTTCCATACTCCTTGGTGCCATTCTCTCTCGTTCTGATGCTGCTGAGCAAAAGCACGTCGATGAAGCCTGCAATGATGTTTCGGGAATCATCGGATGTAGTAGCACTGTTTCGTATCCCGACTACCCGAAAGCCATTTATGGTAAGGTAACGCAGCCTCCAACTCTTTCCAAGCTAACATTAATGATACAGACATCAACGGCAATCAGATTGGTACAGAAATTGTGCCTAAAGACGTGGATATCTGTAGCGCTGTCAACGAGGCACTTGGCAGCGACGACTTTGTGAATAACGCCGAAACTTATTGCTCTTGTCTCTCAAATGCCATTTACTGGGGCACAATTTCGAATGCTAAACCCAGTTACGATGGTCAGATCAACGCGCACTTAACGGGCCCGTACCTTGACTTGATATCCAGGGATGAAACAGTATGTCAAGTTGATCGTGTTCTTTCCGTCACTATCTGACCATTCAAAGTGTCTTTCCGAAAGCGGATACAAAATAGTAACAGACAGAGCATCGGTGGTTGGGAGCCAGTTTGCGGCTACAAATGGCTGGACTTTCATACGAGCCCCCGAGGTAAGACGGCCCGGCCCATTGACACCATGTTGTCGTTACAGCCACTAACAAAGTAGATTGATGTGGCAACCTACAAGAGGCTCGCCAAAGCAGTCATGTCCTGTTATACCGGAACATGTGACGGACCGAAAGTTCGTGCCTTTTTCGCCAGCTACGTTCAAAACTCATACAGCGTCACCGAAAGCGATTTTGTCCGGATGCTCAACAAATGGGTTTCCTTGTTCGATACTCTCAAGAAGAAGACAACAGATGTTCAAACCTATTCGAAGCAAGTTCAAGCTCGTCTCAAGACTGTTTCCGCCAAAGTCAACTCAGTCAAGGCCAATGTCTGCAAAAACAATGCCTGTAAGGGATCGACACCGGCCAACGCGTTCAAGAAGTGTAAGACATATAACATCAAAGCGTGGAACATCGACTAACTATCGATAGATGCAAGCACGATCACAACAGTCAAGAGTCTGCAAGGTGTTCCTAGTGCTGCAGGGAAGTCGCTTGCAAACATTCCTAAGATGACGCTGATCACGCGGAATGCCGTCAAGTACACCACAACTCCGGCAGATGAGGCATACTATCTCAAGTTGATGAATGAATATCACATCAACTCTCTGAGAGACGTCATCAAGGCCTTCAGGGTGACTCAATATCTTCCCCAGGCAGCAGAAGACTTGAAGAAGCTCACTGGGACTTTCAACCTCATCAGCAACCATGCAAGCACTGCGAAGACTGCTGCTACGTCCATCAATCAGATCCTGTCTGTCAATTGGGCTAAAAACGCCCAGCTTTCCAAGACGGCATCTGGCCGCAAGGTCCGTGATGGTCTTATCAATATCCAGAAGAGCTTTAGGAATGATCTGAAAGGCCCCCTTGACAATCTCATCAAGGCCAACAAAGCAGTAGAAGACATTCTCATTCAGCTACCTCTCCGGAAGAAGAGACTTGAATTTTCTTCCGGTGGTGTCTCTTACAACCGCTGGATCAACGCTCAAATGCCTGTGCCGTGCAAGAAAGAGAAGACATATTCACGGACCATCGGGGGCTTTCCGGCGAGTATGCCCTACGAGGAAGTCCAGGCTTGCGAGTTCGGTCCGCAAAAGGTTTCATTCATTAAAACGGTCATTCCATATATGAAGTATCGCTTTGTCTGATACCTTGTGGAGCTTTGATGAAGCATCATGGGATAAGGCTTTCATAAGGTGTATAGGCAATTTGTTTGGGGATCTATGATGGGCTTTATCCTTACGCAACGAATCTTGAAGCTATTTGGTAGTAAACTTGCTGCTTACTGTCCCCGATGTCTGCTGGTATGTGAGGGGGAGCAAAATTCGTACCCACTGACCGAGACATGATCTCGATTCTCCAATGTCACTCGCCAACTACAGGCTTGTCGCGGCTTAGCCCTAATCTTATCTTTCACCGCTCTCTTTGCTTTTCATCATCTTCCATTCCTTTTAACGTCCCGTGATACCCTATTACCCCATGAAAACACCAACCCCGCAAATTGCTCCATGATCCGGGGAAATTCGGGGCGCTAGTCCGGGCCTGCTGCACACCTATTAGCTAACGGTTTCCTCCACAGCCAAAAGAATCTCAGTTTTAACTCCTGCACTTTGACGCCACTGCATATGGAAATTAATGCGGTAGTAGTCATGGGTTAACTATTACCTAAATGTTGAGACGCGGGTCGAGAGAAGGGAAGGGAAGAAAACTCTGCAACACGCAGGGAGGGAGGAATCTGGATGTGCCGGGTCTATAAAAGGTCTCAAATGCCAAGTCTTGAGGCTTAGTTTTTTGTAGGATGATTTGACAAGGTTTCATGGTCTGAGATTATCACAAAACGCTGTACAGAAGACACAATGGCCACTAAAAGTATTGAAGAGATCCGCTCTCACTCACCCAGTCCTTCGGCTCTGACTTTGGGCCAATGTATCGGCAATCCTGTATGTAACCTGCCATATCTCCTACCTAAACTGCAACTAACGTAGCTGAACAGTCCCCGTTGGCCATGGGCACCTTCGCCACTACGCTTCTCACTTTGTCTTTGTGCATGATGGGCTTCCGTGGAGTTGAGACCCAGACCATCTTCATTGGCAACCTTTGCTTCGCCGCTGGCCTTTGCATGTTTGTCTCTGCCCAGTGGGAGATGGCCCGAGGCAACACCTTTGGCTACTCTGCCTTGAGTGCATATGGTAAGTGAATGGTTCGGTTCTTGACATTGCAATATGAGATTAATTGTTTGCCCAGCTGTTTTCTATGGTGGTTACGGCGTCATTCTGTGCCCATCGCTTGGTGTTCTTGAATCCTATGGCGGGCCAACGCCCGAATATCACAACGCTTTAGGATTCTACGTTCTGAGTATGTATATATTGGTGCTCATAATGATTCAATAACTAATATTCAAATAGTCTGGGCAGTCTTGACACTATTTTTCATGCTTGGATCAGCTCCCATGTAAGGACTTTGCTATTTTATGTTATCATGGCGCTGACAAACTTTAGTAATCTGGTCTCCTTTGGCATTTTTACCACCATCTTCTTCTGCTTCACCCTTGACGCGGCCTCCAACTTCGCCCATGCTGACGGAAAGGTCGAGGTCGCAAAGAACCTCATGAAGGCTGCCGGTGTCTTTGGCTTCATATCCGGTCTTTTGGGATATTACAGTTGTGCGGCCGCGATGTGTGCTGATGCACTTCCATTTGAGCTTCCTTGCGGGGACACATCAAGATTCTTCAAGAAGACTCGCAAGCAGTTGTAGTTTCTTCCAGGGGCACATCACTGGAATTCATAATACAGCAGACATATAAAGCCACGGTATTATATGAACAGAATGTTATAAACATTGATAAGGCTACCAAAATTTAGAAAACAATTTGCCTGAGCATGAATGACGGAGGAAGTTAAGCCACTGCGCCCTTGGCCACTGCTCCATACGCCAGTTACCTCGTGTTGTTTGTTGCGGCTGGTCTTAGCTTCGCTGGGCTGTTGGAACAGTACCAGCTACTGACCCAAAACACCACGTGAAGTTGCGAGCCATCGTTCTGGTGCTTCCCCAGTAATGCCTCATCGGCAGTTGTTGGTCAAAACAACGGTAGAAATACTCTAGCACTCATGAAACAACTGCCATGAGGCTGCCTGTAACAGGTAGGCGTAAGCCTTGCGAACTGTTCACCATGTGAAGAGCTCTCCATGTTCCTGACGGACGCCGTGAGGCGGAATACCCGGTTATGACCAAACTAAACGTGCCGTACAGCAAAGGGAAAAGCTTTTGAGTTTGTACTGCTCCCAGATGGATGTCGTAATTCGTGCTTGTTAAGGTGTTCGAAGAAAGGCCTAGTTCTTAATCATGGGAGCCAAAAGGCCTCTCCTTTGGGGATACCGTGAGGCTCCAATGGGCGTTCCCACGAGACGGAAGTCGTTAGACCCGTTGTGATGATAGTTGGATCTTTGAACGGGGTTCGTCGAGAGCTCTTTTCACGGCAGGGTTCTTGAGTTCTCCGCCAAACTTCTTGGGGAGTCGGTCATCGTCGAAAAATGAATACTCCTACAATCAATTAGTAGACATTTAGGCGAATAGACCAAGCACATACAATAAGCCACTCTGGCTCAACAGCTGTGACCAACTGTAGGTATTGGATACCAGAATAGTGTATCTTGAGGCATATGACCCACCTGTGGTTCAATCCGACAAGGCCGCTATGAGGATCAATGCCAAAGAATGGTTGTACCGCACAGTTTTGCACTTATCGTCGGATGAATCGAACATTGCAGTCTTGGTGGAGAACCCAGCAAGAACGCTTTTGCGGATGTTTTCGCTGAACTTCCCATCTGTCTCTGACATGCTCAATAGTACGCTGTTGGTCAGGAAATTGCGTTGGACATGACCAAGTAGCTGACCACGGATAGCCAGAACCTCAGTTGCTAGTCTGCGGTTGACAAAGTATTCTTTGCACCAGCCAAGCAACTCATCCTCGGATAGATCATTCGACATCTGCCAGTAACCTGTCAAGGCATTCATACGACCCATAATATCTGACTCTGGGTGATAAAATGTCCTGTGCACCACATCCGCCGCACAGCGATCATTGATATAGCACCTGCTCCCATAGTTAGCACTCGATGACCAACCGATATAAACGCATGACGAGACTAGGGCCATACTCATAAGTCTCTAAGGTCGCCAATCGCCCGAATACATATCTCTTAACATTGCAACGGGCATTCACCGATTGGTTGACGCCATTGGCTGGAAACCGTCATGGCAGAGTCAAGTTTCTGCTACCCAAGGGCTGTCTCTTCTCAAATGCCAGCCATTCCAGGCCATGGTCAATCCACTGTACGCTTCCGTGATCTGATACCGTCTCATAAAATCACATTAATTTATTTATGAGGCCTCAATCATCTATTGTCTGTTGAAGCTATAAGGGACTGCACGTTCGTGGCAACTAATGCACTCGAAAGGACTGAGCTCTTAGGCTGTATTCTTCTCGAAGATACTCAAAGCGGTATTCTCAAACTCACGCCCAAATTGCAAGACTGATTTCCAATGGGGAGGAATAGCTCCTGCTCCATCTCGAGCTCCCAGTATTCCTCCTGCGATCGCCCCGTTTGTGTCTGTATCCCAGCCAATGCGAACAACATCTACGACAATATCCTCTAAGCTGCGAGGATCAAGGACCGCTGCTATCGCGAGACTCAGTGACTCGAGGACGTACCCACTGCATCTCCCTCCAAGTTCAGGCGCAGGTCCCATTGAAGCCATTGTTGCTATATTGAGTGATTTGCCGAGTTCAATCGCCTTGTACACTGGACCAGATCCTCCTTCAAGAGTTTCTGCGACATTGAGACCTGCCTCGATGGCATCCTGAGGGTCAACCTGGTCGATGAGTTTCGACACAATCGTGTTGTATGCTGCACATGCGACTGTGCATCTCTTGTCGTCGTGGGTGATCTTGCTGATACGTATGCTTTCCTCGACCAACTTCTGGGGATCGCGTTGGAATAAGCCGGTCGGGATGCAGCGCATCAGGCTTCCATTCCCAGCACTACCTTGCCCAGCGCCGGCGCGGTCGGGGTCTTTAGTCTGCTTGTAGCGCCTAAGCCCAGTAGCGGTCGCCCCTCCAATATCCTCAGGCCGACTTCCGGGACGCCTGTCTGGCCAGTCGCCGTGAAGCCAACTGATGAAATAGTCGCCAGCGAGTTGCGCGATGTCGTCGCCGTCCTTATAGTCGTGATATGCAAGCAGTACCCCACGAGTCATATCCGTATCGTCTGTCGCATGGCCCTGCGACCATCGAAACGGGCCTCCGCCCACGATGTCACGGAGACCAAGAGGGTATTCACGGGCGATGTCGGTATGAGTTTTGAACTCAAGCGTTGCGCCCAGCGAATCGCCGGCATGGACACCCAGCAGCGCGCCGATAACGCGGGACTCGCGGGGCGAAAGTTCAGAGTCGGTTTGAGGTGAAGGCATGTTTGTTGCTTGTGTTTGTCTGTTCTATTGTCTGTTGGCGATTTGACGGTTCAAATCTCATTGAAAGAGCCAAATAGCGGGGGCTGAGCTGGGGCTGAGCCTGTCAGCCTTGAATCGGATCCATGCCTTGCTGCCTGCAGCGGACAAAGCGGGACGAACACTCGCAAGTGACAGGCAGCCAGGCCATGATATTGCTGGAAAACATACTATTCATCGGGGCTCAAAATGCCAGATGGCGCGACTGTCGAGCTTGTCTGTCGCACAATGTTGTAGTGAATGATGTTGAGCCCTCGGTAAGCGGTGGGGCACCAGCCGCGGAATGCCTCAGCTTTCCTTGCACTGAGACATGTGCTTCGCAAAGATGTCCAACTCTTCTTCTGGGCTTTCCACTCGAAACACAAACTCATCAAAATACGCATGCATCTTGAGCAATTTGACTGGCTCGGAGATAGCTATCATTCTTTCGGACCATCCATATACGCACGCGGCAGCTCTGCCCTACAAGTGGATCCCCGATCAACAAATGTCGTCCAGATTAGTGGCTAGGCCTTTGAAATGTCCCTTGTGGCAGCAACTAAGAATCGGTGATAACACTAATCTCCAGGCGGTTTACACCTATATCGCAGATAATTTCTAAACCCGAGGCCATGTCGTCAGACTAAAAGTTCACTAAGATAAGGGTAGAACATCTTGCTAAAAAGGAAGACAGTATTTAGAATAGATTCATCCTTTTATTCTCTTCTAGAGTTCTTGCCAAAGACCACGAAACCATTCATAATACTCAGCATGTCGCCGACAAAAGGTCTCGTTCTCGTCACCGGCGCAAATGGCTTCATCGGTGCACGTACCGTCGAAGCTTTCCTCGCCGCCAACTATTCTGTCCGTGCTGCAGTGCGAAGTCAATCCTCAGCCTCCAGCCTCCTCTCAGCACTCCAGTCATACGCCTCCTCCGGCCAACTCACGAGAATTCTAGTTCCCGATCTGATGGCCAGGGGAGCCTTTGATGAGGCTGTAAAAAATACCTTCGCAATCGCTCATGTCGCGGCGCCAGTTGACTTCAGCAACACCAATATCGACTACGTCATCGGTTCTTCGCTACAAGGGACTCTCGGAATTTTAGAGTCCGCTGCTAAAGAGCCTGCCCTGAAGTCGTTTGTATATGTGTCTTCAATTGTGGCTGTCAGAGGCTGTAAACCGAAATATCCAGAGAAGGGTTACACGGAAGAAGACTGGAATGACCAAATTGAGGATGCGCTCGCCAAGGCCGGCTCGGAGGTGACAGGCCACCAAATTTACGTCGCAAGCAAGGTCAAAGCAGAGCGCGCATTCTGGGAGTTCCGACAGAAGAACAAAGATCGCATCAAGTTCACAATGACAACTGTCAACCCGGTCTGGGTTGCTGGACCGCCGCTGATTCTGCCTGAAGACCCGGAGAAGTTGAGTGAGACAGCCATCGTTCCTTATCGCATCATGAACGGGGAAAACATGTCGTCTGCTGGACCTGGCAATGGAACACACGTTGACGTGCGTGATGTTGCACGACTCATGTTGTTTGCAGTTGACAAGAAAGAAGTGGCCGATGGGCAACGGTACATCGCTGGCGGGAATGGCAACTTTGGAAACATCCAAGCTTATCGCGATCTATTGCGAAAGGCTTATCCGGAAAGACAAGGAATTATTGGGAAAGGCGAACCAGGAAAGGGATACCTACAGGACTACAGTATTCCCAATGGTGCGTTCAAGGTCGATGCTAGTAAGGCGGTTGAAGCAACAGGCCAAGGTTGGATCCCGTTTGACCAGATGGTTTTGGAGTCTGCAAAGGCATACGAAAGGTATTTTTGAAGACAAAGTTCTGTTTCGTGACAATGGTCAGCGGGTAAACTTGGGTCAGAGAAGATTTATTGTGTTGAGAAGAGAATACGAAAATGGTTTGGTGCCTCCCCTAGCTATCCTCGTCTGTTTCACGTATATATATACTTATTCGTGACCATACGAGCCTAGAGTTGTATGGTATTGTAATTCTGCCCCCAAATGTTCAGGGAAGTCAACACTCTCGTAGCTCAGGACCATGTAATGTCACATGTGCAAAGATTCTTGCGCTTGGTGGTATATCCCTGCACTGCTACTCTCTTCTCCTTAGCAAGGCTGAAAAGGGCTTTTGACTGTCGCCCTGGCCAGTGCCGAGCATCCGAACTTGGTGCAGCTTGAGGTGAACTCATACAAAGGCTAAGTATCTCAGCTCTTTACAAGTATTGGCATAAGTCCAAGGCGGCACAGAAACATGCATACCTGTGCAAGTGATGGTGGGGATGGGAAAGGCGCTAACGCTTGTGCTTCGGTTGTATCTAATGTTTTTCAACGCATCGCATCGACATCTAGACTCTCCTGACTGGCATAGAGTTTTCTGCCTCGGCAACAGCCCTGTGATAAGGTTGTTGGAGGTTAAAAGAGGCTTCATCTCCAGGGCACAAAGGTAAAGAAAACCAATTAATACGTATGGGCAATATACTTACGGTTGCCTAATATCTTGCTTTTGGCTGAAAAGCTAGATATCCTGATGATAGACTCTAAAGGTGTATAAATTGGTAAGATCGACCAATTGGAGACTCGGTTATGCTCAGGACCATGTATTCAATGAAATAAAGCTTCACTAAATGGATCACAAAGGGTTTAAACACAAAGTATCCCTTGCTTCAACTATTGCTCGCTTACCTACTTCACGCTCCAACACTCATTGTTCCAAGCACCTGCTTCTCTAAATCACAGACTTCAACCAAAGATCAACTCCTCAATCCCGCACTACTTATAGTCAGCATGCATTTCTCTATCATCATTCCGGCCCTTCTCTCCTCCTCGGCCCTTGGGCTCGCCGTACCCCAGGCCGAGGATTCAAAGCTCATAGAACGTTTCGGCGGCCCTGGGGCCTCTCTGGAGGAGGGTTTCACCACCTCTGAGGATACTACTTCAGGCGGATCCTACCGGGTTCAAATGGACGACGATGAAGTCGCAAATCATACCAAGGTTGACATGAACCTTGAGTCGATAGGCGTAGGCGACGACACTTCGTCGGCGTTCTGGCGAGTGACCTGTGAGGGCTCCTCACTTAATGAAACTGATGCCGACATCGCGATCAACCTGTTGATTACCGGGTGCGGAAGTGGCCACTTCGATGTACCGCCATACGATCACTACTACATTATCTCCGGGAAGGTGGCCAGTTACTTTTGCAACAACAGCTCTGGACAGCCCACTTGCAACGCAACGGTTATTCGCGAGCAGATCCGGGACCGTGTGAGTGGCCGATGTGGCGATTACAAGGCAGGTTGGGCACGCTGGGACGGTTCCAATGGTCACGTCAGCGTGGGTTACCAGAACGTTGATAGCGAAAACTTTTTCTGCGGCCGGAATCACTAACAGAAGAGGAACATTCGAAGGAGTGGGTTTGAGCGTTGCTTCTGATTATGGTGAGATCGTGCAATACCGTAGCACTCTCAAAACATGCATAGACCAGAAGATCCTACTCGCTCTTTGGCGTTCAAGATAGACCGAGGGAGGACAAGGGATGCTCGAACTCGGGGAAACAATTAGAATAAAACGCTTTGTATTTGAACATTTAGCCACTGTGGTTACGTCTATATATTCTGGCGTGAGCTCCAAATGATGACAACTTTAATGTGAGATGTGTCTTTTGACACAAAACAAGGTTAGATCCAGCAAAAGTAGACAATGGCCAACGCCGCATGTTACGATGGTGATGACCTCGTGAAGTAGCATAGGAAAGAATACTAGCAGGAACGGAAGTCCTGAAAAGGCAAGCCTTATCCCCATCGCACTCCCACATCACGATATTTCCACTTCGTCGCCTCTGTAGTACCTCCATGATCCCATCGAGTCAGATAATAAGGATGGACGCTGGTACTAGCTTCGGGTATGTAAGCGGTCTCAGGAAGCAAGAGCAAGACGATGTCAGAACTTAGTACAGGGTGTCAGACTAAACTCAATAAAAGATATCCTAAGCTTATGATAAGTTACCTAATAAGTGTTTTTATCGTTTAGGATACTGTCTTGAGCTTTCTTTTGTCCCCGGGGAGAGGAGGAATACACGTGACACACATTGCGGGGTCAAACTCATGAGGACAATTATCCATGTCTCATCCCCGGATTCGCTTTTCCGTCCAACCTTTACCTAGTTTCATCCTCTCTTTTCCGTTCGGTACAGCCTCAGTCAGTTTCACCGCATACACGAAATTACCTCTGAAGGAATGGATAGACGTGGCTCCAATGACTTCAGAGCGCTCCATACTCCCAACACCGTCAGATACCAACAGCATACATGTAGCGAAGAAGCGGAAAAAGAACGCTGAGAGGGTCAGAGTGACAAGGGCGTGCGATGGATGCAAGAAGTAACGCAACCCTAGGCAATTTGTAGATCAACCATGAGCTAATCTGTGTAGGCGGAAAATCAAATGCAATGGCATGCAGCCGTGCAAGTTCTGCACCCGGACAAGGGCCTCGTGCACCTTTGACTCGGCTTATGCGAGAGGTCGTTTGCCGGTGATACCCTCAGCGGACGAGGTTGGAGATGAGAGCATAACCGTCTCGGCTCAAGATACAATGCCTCGGAGCGACAATACTAGCCCTACGGATTTGACGCAGCAGTACCAGGGTGTAGAGTTGCAGGACTATGGCATGTCATCCCATCTCATGGACCAGAGCGGCACAGGCTCGGGCTCACGGGCTGTAACGTCGGTGCAGCAGTCCCCCGAGCCATCGCAGGAGGATCTTCAGGGTCACTACATCGGGCCAGCCTCTGGCGTCTCATTCCTTCTCAGGGTTCAAAAACGAATGCATCAAGCAATATCGTTCTCTGGACCAGGAAGCATCTTTACTTTTGGTGATGCACCTCTTCAAAACCCTGATTATGATCCAAACTTTTGTATGATGCTTCCCAAAGAAGACGCCCAGCGTTTGGTGGATCGTTACTTCGATTTTGCTATGCCGACATACCGTTTCCTTCACCGACCCACGATTCAGGAATGGTTCTCTGAGTTTTATGAGACGTTGGGTACTATGCGTGACCCAAATAATTCTGCCGCCAAAGTCGCGTTGCTCTTCATGATTTTGGCCCATGCTAGGGTGTACATGCCAGAGAACGACAGACCCGGACCTTCTGATCTGAGGTTAGACACTCATCCATTACGTTATTCTGTACTAAGTAGTTTGCAGCTCACGGTATTACTTGGCAGCTGAACATCAACTCTCGAAAGAGAGCGGTTCAATACGACTGACCAGCGTTCAGGCCCGTCTCCTGCAGTGTTACTATCTCGGAACTCAATCCCGGGTCAACCACTGCTGGAGTCAATTTGGTATCGTTACAAACCTGGCTCTTGCTATCGGTCTAAATCGAAATAAACGACCTGGCATTATAAGTGGTCTGAATCATATTGAAGTCGAAAGCCGTCGACGAACCTTCTGGTGCGCATACACTCTCGATGCATATCTCAGCGTATCTCTAGGTAGACCACGCAACTTTCACGATGACGATATCGACACGGAGCTTCCGGCCTGTGTTGATGATAACGACATAACTAAGGATCACATAAACCTTGCTGCGTCAACGAAAGGCTATTCGGTTATGCTTGCTCCACTTGGGCATATGAAGTAATAACCCCCTTTAATTTGCAAGATGCATACTGACCCATTCATTGCCTAGGCTTGCACGCATCATAGGCCAAATACTGCGTGGTCTCTACTCCGTCAAACCTATCTCGATCTCCAGACGCTTAGAAGAAACACAACTCGTCTCTAAGGCCCTCGCAGACTGGCGAGCCGAGTTTTCCCAGTTTCTCGATGCCGACTACTTCAGTACATCCTTTCTGGTTCCAATCGTTCAACGCCAACGCAATGTTTTGAATCTAACCTACTGGCATGCCATAATACTGACGCATCGACAAGCTGTCCTCAACAACTTTGCAAGGATATCACGTCAAAATAGAAGAGGCAGTGAGAATGATGCTGCAACTCAAGAGAGTGTGAAAAGGTGCCTTGAAGCTGCCATCCAAACAGTCGGTCTGATCGATGAAATGACCGACAACGGACAGATGTTCCGAGCATTCTGGGTTCGTGCAACAAATTAATTTTATGATGTCAAAGCTGACCAATATCAGGTTACGGCATACTTTGCCTTTACTGCAGCCATGGTTCTGTACATCTACGTGATCCAAAAATGGGCTTCACCCCCTGAGACATACAGTGAATACTTTACAGCTGCAGCTCGATGCCAATCTCACATGTCAACCATGATCGAGAAAGGCTCCTTATCAGAGCGATACTGTTTCCTGTTGGAAGAATTACGGGTGGAGGCCTTGCGACAGGTCAATCGGATGCATCCAAACGTATTTCTGGACGGGCATGCACAAGACAATGCTTTTCAGTCCAATGTCATACCGATGGATACGCCAAGCGACAAGACATCTTATACAGACTTGATGGGCGAGAATGGGTTGGACTTTAACGGCATTTCTAGAGTGGATTTCGAAACGGGTTGGTCCCAATTTGCAACGATGGTCTCGTCAGGCTTGGGTAACCTGGATGCCTTCCTTGATGATGATGTCTTTCGGCTTTAGGAGCAACTGTAATACATAAGCTTGGCATTCGGCCTCTGATGGACCGAGGATTGTGACCCTCAACGCATATCATCTGATGACGGAATCTTACCAATCAGCGGGCGTAACGGATATGATCTTACCTTTTCCAGATATCGGATCTAAAGCCGAAGCTGCATCGGAAAACCGAATATGAGGCGCTGTGCCCGGGTTGACGAGGAAGAAAACTCGGGGCCTTGACCTTGAATGACAAAAAGACTGAGGTAAATTAGATTAAACTTATAATAATTTTGCCAAGTTTAGAATACCTTTTGCTGAGTTTATTTTAATACCCTATGTCATAGTCTGATATTTTCTTGCTCCCCTAGGCTGGTGATAAATCCGCTCGAGGTCTTGGTTGTGGAGCGGATGCGGGGAACCTCGCGTTAGCTTCCATGTTCGTCTTTACCATTCCTTGAGTCCAATAAAGTCATCCTGTTGAAACCACCAGAGAGGTACTTATTATCTTGCGTTAGCAGACATTGAACTGTATCTATCATTGTTTATCAATACGTTCGCATATCGCACTTCCCAAAATGGCATCCGCAGTCTCAAAGCGCCTCGAAGGCAAGACAATTCTCATCACCGGAGCATCCTCCGGCATCGGAAAGGCCACAGCCTTTGAGTTCGCCCGCACCAGCCCCAATAACCTCAAGTTGGTCTTGACAGCACGAAGAATTGACAGTCTTCGTCAAATCGCCCAAGATATCGTCGAGGAAGTCGGCGATGGCGTTAAAGTGCACCCTGTCCAGCTCGACGTCAGCAAGCCTGAGGAGGTGCGCTCTTTTGTCAGCAAATTGCCCGCAGAGTTTGGTGAGATTGATGTCTTGGTGAACAATGCGTAAGCCTCTCTATTTCAAAGATTGAAGAAGTGATTCGCTGACACATTTCTCGCAGCGGTCTTGTCAAGGGCGTGGATAAGGCTCCTGAGATCAAGGAGGAAGACATCAATGTCATGTTTGCTACCAACGTCACGGGCTTGATCAACATGACGCAAGCTATTCTCCCCATAATGCTGAAGCGCAACAACGGCGAGGGAGCCGGTGACATCATCAACATTGGCTCTATCGCAGGACGTGAGCCTTATGTTGGCGGTAGCATCTACTGTGCGACCAAGGCTGCCATCCACTCATTCACTGAGAGTCTGCGAAAGGAGCTTATCTCGAAGCGCATCAGAGTCATCCGAATCGATCCTGGCCAGGTGGAGACCGAGTTCTCGGTAGTCAGATTTTACGGGAACAAGGAAAAGGCTGATGCAGTCTATGCGTGAGTTTGCACCTCTGCAGGTCGATGAAGAACCATGCTAATCAGTAACAGTGGTTGCGAGCCTTTGACACCAGATGATATTGCTGAAGCAATTGTATTTGCTGCTGGCAGAAGAGAGAATGTAGTCATTGCTGATACCTTGATATTCCCTAACCACCAGGCTGCGGCTACGATTATGCATAGAAAGAGTTAGTAGAGTACTATCAAAACTAGACCAAGACACCGGTGCAAATAGATATTCTCAAACCATAAATGGTCGGGTGATTCATTGTCACCATGTTCCTGTGCAAGGCTTTCAAGAAAGTCTTTAATTATTTCTCGTCGAACTTTGATCAAAACAACCAATTGCAACTGTAAAGTATTGCATTACACAGCGTAAAGGTGATGACAGCCGATTACCCAGGCCGCTATTCTCTGTTGCTTCACTCACCTCTTTCAAAAACCGAAGTAGTCACTGGCATCATCCAAGTAGCCAGTCGGATCTGGGGACAAAGCCAGCCGTTCGCCGGTAGAGTTAGACAACTCCGGCCTTAGGGCCATGCAAGATGACCGACTACCTTATCTCTGCATGCGTTCAATCTAATCTAGAGTCCTCGCGTATTCTACGTCCTTCCGCCCGCAACCTCATGCTTTTCTCGGCAAATCGATTTTCGGCTTCGGGTATTTTTCTTCGTGGAATCAGGCCCAGACCGAGTCAAGTGCAGTTGGAGTAGCGTTGCATTCGCCAAACGCTTTGCGGGGGATCGGCAATGCTCACTCTCGCTTGTCGGAAAAAGACACTCCCAACCACCTCGTAGCTAGCTTTTCCGCAATAGCTCCTCGGTCTCATGACTCGAGGCTGCGTAGCATGTGCATATTGCATTCCCGTTGCTAATTATCCAGCGTCGGATCTGGATAGACGGGCATGATCCGCTGACCACTACGCTTATTCAAGAGTCCGCTGGCGACCTGGCGAATGGAATCCGGTGACTATTGCGTCTCCCTCCCGTGTGGAGACCACGGATTCATATCATGGAAGAAGGATATTGAGGCAAATTCCCACCTAAGCCACAGTCCAGAGGCTTTAAGTACCTGTAATCTTCCAAAAGCATCCTTCTAGTTTAGTTCTACCATACAAAATATACAACACTCAATCTCCTTCCATAAAGTCGATTCGATCATCATGTCTTTTTATAGAGCTCCACCAAGCGGCGTCTGGGCACCAGCGATCACATTTTTCGACCATGAGACAGATACACTAGATACCGATTCACAAGCAGCATATTATTCCTATCTTTCTAAAACCGGTCTTGCAGGTCTTGTTGTGCTCGGAACAAATGCCGAGACCTTTCTGTTGACGCGCGAAGAGCGCAAGGCATTATTACAGACGGCACGTCAAGCATGCGGGCCATCATTCCCTATTATGGCCGGCGTTGGTGGACATTCGACCAAGCAGGTCTTGGAGTTCATCAACGACGCAGCCGATGCCGGAGCCAACTACGTTTTGCTGCTCCCTCCCGCTTACTTTGGGAAGCAGACAACACCAGAGGTTATCAACAACTTCTTTGACGATGTTGCGAAGAACAGTCAACTGCCTATTGTCATTTACAACTTCCCTGTCGTTTGCAATGGCATCGACCTGGATTCTGCCACCATTGCCGCTCTAGCCAAGAAGCATAGCAATATTGTTGGCGTCAAGCTGACTTGCGGAGCTGTCGCAAAAATAACGCGACTTTCGGCAGAGCTCCCTGAGGAACGGTTTGCGATCTACGGTGGACAATCAGACTTCCTGATAGGAGGACTTGCTGCTGGTTCTCACGGCACCATTGCTGGATTCGCGAATGTCGTCCCAAAGACAATCGTGCATATCTATAACCTTTACCAAGAGGGCAAGTTCCAAGAAGCCATGGCTCTACACAAGAAGGCGGCGCTAGCTGAGCAGCCTTGCAAGGCTGGAATTGCATCAGTCAAGTATGCAGCAACTCTGAGCACAGCCAAAGCCGCTGGGATCAAAGGTGCTGCAGAGAAACTGAAGCCCAGAAGGCCATACGTGGAGCCTACGGATGCTGCAAAGAAGAGTATTGAGTCGCAAATTTCTGAGATGTTGGACTTTGAAGCCACGCTCAAGCTACCGGCTGAGAAGGGCAAGTCAAACGGCGTGACGAATGGCGTATCAAATGGGATCATGAATGGGACAGCAAACGGTGTGGCGGTGCATTAAAACACCTATCTACCAGATGAATAGCATTTTTATCCTACGATTAAATATTCATTCAATAAAACCGGCAACAGACAAGCAATATGTACACTATGTTCTCTCATTATCTCGAAATCGGTGACGCTTTTCAATGCTGCAGTATAGTTTGGTGGGGGCCTGATATAGTGCCTCCAGGGTGCTGGTGCAGTAGCCTGTGTGCTGATGAGCTGCCCTAGCTGAGGACGGTGCCGGCCTGAATTGGGGTCCTTTCAGGTGCCATAAGGTGCTCTCTGTGCTAATGCGGCCGGGTTACTCTCAATTCAATCAATTTTCGCGTACTCTAAGCGCCAAACAGTAGAATGCTTTTGCAAGAAGAGTAATTATTGGTACACTACGGAGTACTCCGTACTCTGTAAGAAATAAACATTTCATTTTACAGGGCGTCTCTGTGTTTTCGTATTTGTCCAAGCTCGAGCTATTGGCATTAGCGTGTGTTGAGCTATGGGTTTCGCTATCTATTTGACAGCGTAGATTCAATGGTATCGGTTTCAGGCGTAATTCGATTATCTGAATCGAATCAACACCTTTGAGCGACAGCTTCTCAACTCTATCAACTTATTTGGGGCCTTCAAAGGTTGCATTTCCCCACGTCTTTACTTGCATGATCATCTTCGTGGCTCGACGATCAGCGCCAACCCTCTACTAAAGCCCACTAGAGTCTAAGCTTACAGCGCCACCAATTTATCGACAAAAGAAAAACAAGGGTCTTCAAAAGGAGAGCATTGGAAGCTCTTGTGGTCCCTGTTGCCGCTCACTCAGTTGCAGTTTCATTTGTCGCCCATTTCGTAACTCACCAAGGTTATTCACTTTTTAACATGATCTCGTCATCATTCCTTACCGGCGCGTTGGCGGTTTTGGCCATCCACAGCGTTAATGCTGGGCCATGCCGCCCCTCATCTGTCTCTACCGCCGAGAGCTCCATGTCAAGCAGCCCAGCGACCACGCTTACTCTGCCACCACTGCTGAGCTTTCTGCCACTACAACGCAAACGGAAACTATTTCTGATGCTGTCTCGTCGTCTGAGACCTTAGCCGGTGGCACCACGACTACCCAAGCCGTTCAAGACACCACCACAGCAGCCATCGAGACTACATCGGCCACTGAGCCTTCTGAGACCACAACTGAAGCAACCTCTGTCTCCGAGGATATCTCAACTTCTGTGACTCTGAGCGACGACACCACGATCTCACTTGCCATCACTACGACTACTCACGCTATCGAAGACACTACAACAAATGCCCCAGCTACGACTACCACCACTGCGGCTGCTGTACCGGACGAGTGCACTGTGAACGCCGATTGCGAAGCTCTCAACGGCGGGGCCAATCCCATCTGCGATGCCGGCACTTGCGTTCCCGACGATAGCCAGGGCGCTCCATGCTCCGATGACAGCGAATGTACTATCCCCGGTGAAAGCTGCTCGGACTCTGGTTTCTGTCACCCTGCTTCAGCCCAAGCCTGCCTTGACGCAACCGACTGTCTCTTGGATGCCAACCCTATTTGTGTTATAGGGCTCTGCGAATGCCCCCAATCGACATCTCAATGCGCACCACGATCTGATTTGCAACTCTGTCAGTCAAACGCTGGGTGTTCAGCTGGCGCTAGTTGCCAGCAGGGTATCTGCGTCGATGAGGTTAGCTGCGGTAGTCCTTCTGATTGCGACAGTAACTTGGATCTGTGTGTTATTCCTGGCGTTTGTGTCTGCCGTGGCGGTGTCTGTGCCCTTGGTGGTTAAGGGTGTTTGACTACATTGTTCCATGTAGTTTGCACGTGGGGGGCGCATGGCATTTAGAAGGCTTCCTGATCTTGAACTGAGTATAATACTCATTTATATTCCTCATAATATCATAATTCAACTATACTTGCGGCCACCAGCTTTGAAATGCTCACAAAATGTGAGTGGTTCTAACCACTATCACTAGCAATCTGTATCCACTCAATAGTCCATCCAAACATTCCAAAGTCTACAGCACATGCTTAAACAGTGGCGACCTGTCTCCCATGTCAAACAGCTCCTCTTCAGTGTACTTCCTCTTAGCTTCCTCGGCAATCTTGGCCTTGCGAGCATTGGCGATCTTGTAGCTCCACTCCAAGAGGAAAGCAACAATCAAGCCAGTACCTCCGAAAGCAAGCGACAAACCGAATCCAGTGTAATACTTGGGCTTCTCCTTCTCAAGATACATGAAGCTACCGACGATACCACCGACATTGCCGACACAGTTCATCAGGGCAATGCCGATCGCCCGGCGACTTGACGGGGCAATATTGTTGGCGTTCCACGAGGCAGCGGCGGCTTGGATGGGATAGATACCAATAACAGCGAGAACGACGGCAAAGTAGGCAACTCCTTTCTTCGCTTCGAGCTGGCCATTGAGAGAGATCATGATCGAGTATGCGATTGTCACGATCACCATGGGAATGGCAACGAAGGGCATACGCCAGAAGAATCGGTCAGAGATCTTGGCGAAAACAATTGCAGAAATAGCTGCGGCGACGTAAGGGGGAGCTGAGGTAAGCTGAGCGTTCGTGTTGCTGAATCCCATCGCCTTGGTGATGCTTGGTAGGGTGAACTTGGTACCATAAGAGAGAGCAGACTGGCACAGAAGGAAGTAAGCCTGGACGTAAACCCTCCAGTTTGTGAGCACCATCCGAATGTCCTTCCATCTTACTGTCGTTTCCTCTTGGAAGCCTCCTCCCTGCTTGATGAACATGGAGAGCTCAAGGAATCGGATCTCCTCGGGACTCAACCACCGCGTAGACAGAGCAGGAGTATCGATAAGGAGAAAGAAGCAGGCAACTCCGAGAACAACTGTAGCCATTCCTTCGAGAAGGAAGATCCACCTCCAACCTTCGAGACCGGCGACACCGTCCATCTCAGCGATTCCAGCTGCGAGGAGACCAGAGAAGGCACCTGATAAGGCACTGGCGCAATAAAAATATGAAATGCGAACACTAAGGTCGCGTGGCATATACCAGTAACTGCAAGATATTAGGATATAAACGGTGCTGAGACTGTTTTTTGAGCTTACCTGCAAAGGTAGATAGCACCGGGGAAGAACCCAGCCCTGAATCGCGGCGTCAGCATCAGCACCAGTAAATTAGCTCCAAGTGACCACTTGACTTACTCAAAGATACCGAGAAGAACACGAGTAGCCATGAGACCACCAAAGTTTTGGACAAGTCCAGTGCAAGTCATGACGATCCCCCAGCAGACGCAGAGAATACCAAGGTACATCGAGGGGCGCTTGAACTTCTTGAGAAGGATGTTGCTAGGGACTTCGAGAAGCACATAGGGAACAAAAACTATCTCTAAGTCAGCTCATATTGTTCTGATTAGCGAATTCGGCTTGACTTACAGATAGACAGAATGGTGTTGTACTGGACACCTGTGAAAAGTTAATATCAGGTACCATCCTGGCTACAAGAAAAGGTTCTCTTCTTACCAGTCATGCCCAAATCTTCCACCATGCCTTCGATCTTCGCATTGCCGATATTTGCGCGATCAATATGGCATATAAGATATAACAGGGCGAGCATTGGTACAAGTCGAACATCGACCTTGCGAAAGACCTTCTTCCTCTGCTCCTCTGTGTAACTGTTGTAGAAGTCGGCATCGACAGGATCCAGACCAAAGACGCGAAAACCGCCGATCTCGATGGCTTCGGAGGTGTTTTCGAGATGGTCTGGCTTATGGTCGCCGACCTCAATGTCGCTCTTGGAAATTGAACTTCGAGGAGCCATGATGAAGATGTTGCTGCTCTGGGACTTGCAGTTGAGGCTCGTGGCTGAGAGCTTAAATCAGCAGACAGAACTTAGCTGCTCTGGGACTTGAAGCTCAAGAATTGTGATGCTGAATGACCTAACCTTGGAAGTGCTGAAGCAGGCTGCGTATTATAGTCGAGGCCACGATCTGGAAAAGCAAAGGAGGTCATTGCAAAGATTAGCTCAAGCGGGTGCCCCACACTTCCCCAGACGAAAACCAGTGCAACCCCAGGCTTGGCAGCACCCAAAGCGGAGTGTCCATGTTTGCCAAGTGCGGGGTATGATTTCTGATGGTCTCATTGTACGGAAAATATCACCCCCAACGCTATCTACTAGGGAATCAACGGAGCTGTTGATTTACGGAAAAGCATCTAGCCATGCGGTTATCCGTGGCGGATCCATGACCAGCCACATCAATCTTCCAAGGAAACATGTCCGATGTGCTTTATCCTCTCGATCCGGATATGATTACAACTCATGGAGCACTACACCAGGTAATCACGCATGATACCCGTGATGGTTACTCAAAGAAACGAAGTTTACCCCGCAAACGACAATGACATGACAGCTCAACCATGCACAATCCCGGGATAAATAGTCCACCACTCAAACAATGCAGTTCCTAACAGTAGACTTAACAATCACAGAATACACACTGAATCACAATCATGTCTCAGCAAAGCATCATCAAAGACATTGTCATCACTCCTGTGGCCTTCCATGACATGCCCCTGCTGAACAGCGTGGGTGTACATGAGCCATATGCTTTACGCAGCATCATCGAGATCATCACAGAAGACTCATATGGTCTTGGCGAATCATACGGAGATTCAGCACATCTAAACCGCTTGCAAAAAGCAGCGGATAGTATCAAAGGGCTTTCTGTCTACAGCACAAACGTCATCTACCAAAAATGCGTTGAGTCACTCAAGACCGACACCAATACTGGTGGAGATGGCATGGGAGGCATGGTGACTACTGCCTCGGTCGCTGACAAAGTCTTCTCACCATTCGAAGTCGCATGTCTTGACTTGCAAGGCAAACTAGCTGGCATACCAGTCAGTGATCTTCTCGGTGGAAGGGTGAGAGACCAAGTCCAATACTCAGCCTACCTCTTCTACAAATGGGGCGGACACCCTGACCACGAAGATGATGAATACGGGCCTGCGCTAGACCCGCAAGGAGTGGTGAAGCAAGCCAAGAAGATCATTGACGAGTATGGCTTCAAGGCCATTAAGCTCAAGGGGGGCGTCTTCCCTCCTGCGGAGGAAGTTGCCGCAATCAAAGCTCTGCATGAAGCTTTCCCTGATCTGCCATTGAGACTCGATCCAAATGCTGCTTGGACAGTTGAGACTTCAAAATGGGTCGCAAAAGAGCTTGACGGTATTGTTGAGTACTTGGAAGATCCGGCTGGTGATATCGAGGGCATGGCCGCTGTTGCCAAAGAAGCATCGATGCCCCTTGCTACCAACATGGCAGTCGTTGCTTTCGACCATCTCCCACCATCAATTCTCCAAAACGCCGTTCAAGTCATCCTGTCAGATCATCACTTCTGGGGAGGTCTTCGCAAGTCGCAAACACTAGCATCCATCTGTGCAACTTGGGGTCTGCGCCTTTCGATGCATTCCAACAGTCACTTGGGTATCTCGCTCGCCGCCATGACGCATCTTGCCTCCGCAACGCCAAATCTGGATTATGCTTGCGACACTCACTGGCCTTGGAAGCGCCGAGATGAAGACGTTGTTGTTGACGGTGCGTTGAAGTGGAAGGATGGTCGTGTTGTAGTACCGACAGTGCCAGGTCTAGGGGTTGAGCTGGATAGAGAGAGGTTAGCAAGGCTTCATCAACAGTACCTGGACTGTGGGTTGAAGAAGCGTGATGATACTACGTATATGAAGAGGTTTCAACCAGACTTCTCAGAGAAGATCCCCCGATGGTAGACACCGGGCATTGCTAGCTGGTTGTAAGCAAACCAGTCATACCAGGTCTTTCAAATTTCTTTGATGTTGTACTTTACTGTCTACAGTGTAGTAAACATGGCCCGAAAACTGGCTTTCCACTGGAATACATGAACACTTCTTAAGTAAGCTTTTCTCGCAGCAAAGGTCAATTCTTATTCAGTGCTATTCTCACCATACTTCCTTCTCGACTACATCTGACGTTCTTGAATGAGCCATAACTCTGAAGTCCACTGCGGCCAACGAAACGTATCCCGAATGGGGTTTGAGAAGATGCTTAGTCTTTTTCAATCTGTCCGATGGCCTGCAACCTCTCTTTCAAGTCTTTCGGTTCCTCCGTGAAGACTGTGACTTTCATCTTGTCTCCCTCATCCTCCCATCCGTAGTTCGGTGTCCCATCTGCCTTTTTGCCGTAAATCCATTCAAGGCCATCGAAAAACGTCTCTTGGGTGATGATCAGGTGCTTGGAGATATAGTGCGTCCACGTGGGAACATTGTTTGGGTTGAAAGCGCCCATGACGAAAATGATCTTAGTGTTAGTTGGATGTCATCAACTTAAGTCTTCTGGCAGAGTTTGAAAGGTCTGATTTGTCTCTTCTTTCTTATACGTTCATAAGTGTTACGAAGAGGCATAAGTTCTATCAGGCCTTTCGACCATTATGTATATGAAGAAACTCTGTGAATCAGAGAACACGCCAGTTGAGAGGCAATATACTTTCCGTTGAATATCCAAGCAGGACCTGTCATCTGTCGGTCACTCAGTTCCAGTTTGATGGAACCGAGGGCACGTGTGAAGTTTTCTGGCCATAGAAAGGCGAACAGAACTCACAACAGCCAAAGATCCAAATCGTCAACCCATCACAGACAAATTAGTATTAATGATGATGGTTTGTAAGTTGGACGAAGCTGACATATTTTTTGTCATGGGACTGGTTTTGTGGAACAGGATGACAAGAACGAACGCCGATTCACGATCATTCGTAGCTTGCATCATAAACATGTAGTCTCTACTAACAACAAAGAAGATGTTTCTGAGAAGGTTGCTCGAATATATGTCAGGGCTCAAACCAAGTGATCAACTAATGACTCAGCATAAGCAAGGGGTTGGCGTCCCTAAGGATCGAATTACCCGGTACTCAAGACCAGACGATCAAAAGGATTAATTAAACAAACGGCATGGTGCTACAGATCCCCAAGGTTTCGCGTTGAATAATTTATTCGTTTCACCTACGTGTAGTTGAAGAGTATAGCAGCGGGTATGATGCCAGGTGGCAAATAGGTAAAGACACAATCTGCAAAAAGGCATATATATTACAAAATCATCACTCAAAGTCTGATGCATTACACTCTAACTACTGCCTTTCCATCTCGCACGAGAATAACCGCGCGGCCCGGAAAATGTTCCCTTCAGTAGGATCAAGTTCACCTGACCACCATCGCCGTCAGCTTATGTGAGCAACCAAGTTAGGATAGATGTATCTGAGGGGCAACGACCGGACTCTTTTTCTTTTCTGACTTGGCATTCTACTTTTCACCGCTTGTGCATTGACTGAAGCTATAGAACCTTATCATCACAATGTCTGCCAACTCAGACCTCAGGAAGCAAATCGAAACTACGGTGAATAGCTTCCTCGCGAGCTACGAGGACGGGAGAAAAGCCAAGGACCCGAGCGTCATCAACCGCGATGTTACTCTAGACTGCACTCGCCAACTTCTTCCCCCCTCGCTGTGCAAGGCGCTCGGCCTCCCGGAAGAGTTTCTAATACCCAATGATATCTACGAGAAGCTATACGCCGACGATCTTTCTCTTGGCGGCGTTCACAATACCGTGTCAAAGCACTTGACGATCGACGTTGAGGCCCGGCGCGCGGCAGTTGAAAGCAGTGGAGACATGATCTACCATCATGGCGAGACTCTGCCTCTAGAATTTTCTTGGATTTTCTATCTTACTGGTGATGGTACGAAGATAAGCAGGGTTATCGAGTTTGCTGATAGCACGGCTGTCTTGAAGATGGCGGCCATCGCGAAAGAGCGTGCCGCCAAAAATGGCCAGGGTGAAGAGGTCGATTTTGACGCTACTGGGTAGTGCAGCGGTTGAGGGTAATGGCTGGAGCCACTGAATACTTATTATCTCGTGAAAATAATAAATTTCCTGCTATTTATAAGATATTGTTTTATCACAGACCAGAATTCTATGACGCTTCCGGTATGGTTGGTGGACTCACGGTCAAACAATTGGTGGTCTTGGCGATCAAACAAGTCGAAACAGCACTACGGACACAAATAGCAAGGCAGAAACGTGCTCTCGGTGCAAAAGTTCCGGACTTTTCCGTTATCGCGAAACACTTCATGTCGATATTCGGTGGAGACACTTCAATTCGATACATGGCAACTCCGAAGCGCCCAAGCACCTGCTGAATACAGTCCGCGGGCCTCTATTTATTTAAACTTAAATATAGAGATACTGGAGACCGACTGGAGCCCCTGGACGGCCTGAACGCGGGACGTGAAACCCGGTAGCGTTCCCAATTAACGCGAGCCGGGGCTGTTTATCGCCGACTCCACGGAGTTATCAATATGTTTGCAGCATGTGAAGGAAGTTTTACGTCCGTGGAATGTTCTGTTGATCTGCCCGGTACGCCCGAGACTCAAAAGAATGCCCAGCGTGGCTTAAAAGTCTTGGGAATTTTGAGCCGCCTGCGACGTGGCATCCATTGCAGGGATGTTGAGCGCCTCTGCCGTGTCTCCAAGCCACCATCGACAACGCCAAATGCCATCATTTGCGACGATCTGTTGACCAGGGCGGCAGTTTCCTTATCTCGCATAGGAAATGAAACGCGACAGATCGCAGGTGAACACGATCCGTAAGAGCCGCTACCAATACCACAGCCCCCCTATCAAAACAAGTTTGAGGACGATCTTCAAACACGACCTCAAACCCTTCAATACTAATTTAGGCCGCAATCTACACTCCCTGCTCACGTCCAAGTGTTCGATATCTATGCCCAATGGGATCCAACGGCTCTCATTCCCTTTTCTCCACCGACAAGGTTAAGCTTAAGCCTCATTAGCATTGGTACGAGTCAGGTGACGAGTACGACGACTGAAGCGGGACGTGCAGGGCATATCCATTGGCTCACCGTTGATCTTCAAGATGATCGCACTGATATACAGCAAGGGACAGCTCAGGAGCTATCCCAATGTTTTGGGTCTCATATCTTATACACGAGACTTCGTTGGCCAGCAGCCTTGCTACGCTTTGCGGCTCAGACATTACCCGCTGTCGCGCCCGTCGCTAAAATTAGTCTAGTTTGCGTGTCATGTCTGAGAAACGTGTAATGAAGATCTGGTATACAGTAAAGTGCAGGCATGTGAGATTCGTAATGATATTTGCAAAAGTGCCGAGACGACGGCGATAGTGCTTGGGCTCTTATCGCCGTTGGCGAATATTTATACCTAGCGCCAAGCCCCTGAATATCTACCGCTCTGGCCGTATCAACAGCAGAACGTCTCAACTCTAGTCTGGAACTCTCAAGTAGGAGTCTGGCGGCTACATACATCAGTGGAACCCTCTTCGCTTTCTCTTCCATCTCTCCTTCAGCTCATCTTTCACAAAATATTTCTGCACTACCATGGCGCATCACGATACGAGGATACGTGATTCCAACATGGATCGCGACAGTTACAACCTCGACAATCTCTCCACACAACGTAACCATCATGAGTCTCATCGACCAAACTCACCATCAGACCTCATGTCCGGGGCCTCGACCGATATCGAGTCCGGTACATCAACACCGACGCACATCAAGGATGCAAACCAACATCCTTCATTCGACATTTACGACCCGAACCGACCTAAACTTGGCTTGCGTCAACGAATGAAGCATTTCACTTGGGCTTGGTATACATTGCCCATGAGTACTGGCGGTCTATCACTTCTCTTCTTCGCTCAACCAAACCAATTTCCAGGTCTCAAGACCATTGGTCTGGTTATTTATATCATCAACCTCATAATATTTACCTGCGTGACCACGGCGATGGTCTCACGGTTCTTCCTGCACCCAGGATCATTTGCCAAGTCAATGACACATCCACGAGAAGGTTTCTTCTTGCCTACCTTTTTCTTATCTGTAGCCACCATCATTACCAGTACCGATAGGTATACGATACCGAAGGACAACTCAAATCTGGTCTGGGCTGTCCAGGCAACTTTCTGGGGCTACCTTGTCGTCACCCTGATCCTATCTATAGGACAGTACAGCTATGTCTTTGCAGCTCATAGTTTTGCTCTGACCACTATGATGCCTACTTGGATCTTGCCTATCTTCCCTATCATGCTTTCGGGCACCATCGCATCTGTCATCGCTGAGACTCAGCCTCATGTTGCTGCTGTCCCGATCATTGTTGCAGGACTAACCTGCCAGGGCCTTGGACTTAGCGTTGCTGTTATGATGTATGCCCACATGATTGGACGCTTGATGCAAGCAGGCCTACCCAATAGAGAGCATCGTCCAGGTCTTTTCATGTGCGTTGGTCCACCTGCATTCACTGCTCTGGCTTTGATAGGCATGGCTGAAGGGTTGCCGGAAGACATCGACTTCATTCAAGATGGAACATTTATCAACGTCGGAATGGTTCGATTGATAGCTACTATGAGTGCTATCTTTCTTTGGGCTTTAAGTTTGTGGTGGTTTGGCATCGCGGCCGTTGCCGTTATTCAGTCTCCCCCTAAGTACTTTCACCTCGGATGGTGGGCAATGGTTTTCCCCAACACTGGTTTTACACTCGCTACTATCTCTATCGCGAGATCCCTTGGCAGCAAGGCCATTGGATGGGTCGCCACTGGAATGAGCTTCATCATTCTCTCTGCTTTCGTTTTCATTTTCTACAGCCACGTTCGGGCTGTCCTCTCCCAAGACATCATGTACCCAGGACGGGACGAGGATGTCGAGGATCACTGAGTCGAGCATTTCAGCGCAGCATAACTAGACTTCCAAATTGCATAAAGGAACATAAAAATGTCATACACTACTACTCGCATATACTGTCGTTTCCCTTTCACTACCCCCGTCTCGTGCATCGCAACCAAACGTTCCATAGTAAGGCTTTAATATTCACTCGTTAGTTAGTTTCATCTTTAAATTGATATCATATCCGAATTTGAATCACTCCGTTTCCTAATTGAGAATCTTCTTATCTATGCTAGTCCATTTTCACTGTTTCGATCGTTTCATATATCTACGATAAGATCAACCGATCTGAAACCGCATCTTGAGCTCCGAGTCGCATCCCCTTGTCACTATCGCCAGAGTATCATGCGGCCACGGAATATTTATTTCTGAGCGTTGGAGTCCCTAAAATAGTTACATTTTCACTGATTCACTTGAGACACTGGTAAATCCGAGCGTTTAGGAGTTGTCACCTCATTGGGTGTGTAATGAGCTTGTCATGGGTCGCAGCCCGCGTGCAGTCCACTCTTGATGCCACTCTGTAAAAGACCAAGACCCGGGAAATCCCCGTATTGGCTCAAAACCGACCTTTTTGGTGAGTTTAGCTTCCTCCGTCACAAGGTTGACTTGTTTTGTTGCAGCCTCCGACTTCCATTCTTACACTGGCTAACCGTGTTCAGGACACCTATCCAGTCAAGCTTCTTGGCAAGACAGATTCCCCCACCTATTGCTCATGTTCGGCGATAATCGCTCACTTCTCAATAATCACTTGGTAATATTCGGATGCATGTACGTAATCAATGCTGACACCCTTCTCTTGGCTGATGGCCCGGATAAAAGAGGTTGCATGAGTGAGAGTCAGATGCTGACTGTCTTATAAGCCAGCACTTTTACGAAACAAGCAGTGGGTGCAAGAAACTGTAAACATTTGCAGCTATATCTGAATCAACTCCCGAGCAGCTCCCTTCCCTCCCCTCTGATCTGACGCCCCAGTGGTTCAGTGCGAAACTTGGACATAAGATCAAATCAGTAGAGAATACACGCAACATCTGGGGAACCGCGAGTAAGCTATTCTACACAATTACCTACGAAAATGAAACAGATCAAGAAAGGCCTGTCAATATCTGCGTCAAGGGAGTGTTTGATCCCAAGATGATCGAAGCTCAGCCATGGACCGTCAGTCTGGCTCAACGAGAAGCGGAGTTCTTCAGCAAAGTTGCCCCAAGCGTCACCCATATGATCTTTCCAAGAGGCTGGTGGAGTGGAACAGATGAGACGCAGGGAATTGCAATCATGAACGATCTTGTCAGCGAAGGTTGCACTTTTCCAGCTGAGGTTGCTTCATACTCGGTTGACAACGTCAAGAATGGTGTTGAGCAGCTGGCAGGTTTGCATGCTCAGTACTGGGGCCAGAGTCAGGAGGACCATCCATGTAAGAACCTTTGTGAATAATTTCGTTACCAGTGCCTCACACATTTACAGGGATCTGGAACAACTACGATCCTGCCATGACATTCATGTGCAGATCGTGGAACGAAATCGTTAGAAGGCCCGGGCGCCCCCAGCTTCCGGACTATCTTATGGACGGGGCTCGGTGTAACGAGGCCTTGGATCGCTACTACGCTGAGCGAAACCCGCGTTTCCGAACCCTGCTGCACGGTGATACTCATATCGGAAACATCTACTTCACAGCTGATAACCGCATCGGCTTCCTAGACTGGTCAGCTTTCCACTTTGGTTCATGCTTCCATGATGTCGTGTATCACATGACAGCTATGCTCAGCGTGGAAAACCGCAGGGCCCGTGAGATGGAGATATTAGATCACTATCTCGAGACACTTCATAGCCTTGGAGGTTCCAAGTTTGACCGACATAACGATCCCGAGGTTATGGTCGAGTACAAGCGATCATTCATGACCAATGTTATTTGGCTCATTTGCCCGGATGGTCTCCAAAGCAAGGAGCGTGTCGCTGCTTTGTGCGAGCGAACTGTTGCCACTTTTGACGACCACAAGGTTATCGACGTGATTCTGGGTCAACCAAAACCGGTGGCATAGGTGTAGTTCTTCTAGTACAATATCATTGCTTTGGACCCTCTATTTGGGTCCAAAGCCATGCGCCTACAGTATTAGCCAGGACTAACGACCTGTTTTGCATTCAGTGTTAAACCTTTCTTTCTTGCTGTGATGCTATGCGGCGTGATGATTACGTGCTTAATGTAAGGGGACCGTATCGCGTTGACAGGATGAAGTTTCACGATATGATCTATAGATAGTGGATCATAGATGACTCATAACGCTCAAGACGTTCGAGCAGTGAACAAAGCATTAGCTCCTCGCGATTATAACCTCCATCTCGCTGACACAGCTCACATTGATGAATGAGGTAGCTTACATCAACCAAAAGACGTAGCTCTCGATCTAACCTCATATTAGTACCAAATACTATTCATGATACTAGAGATGCACCAGTCACGGGAGAAACGAAGTAGGGCACTAATTATCAGTGCTGCTCGGTGTTTGGATTTGTAGAGAGGACGTGAGCACTCAGTGACTACTGGACTATAAAGGTTGGCAGCTGAGCCATGATATCCTTACTCACGCTTACCATTAATAACCTCGCTTCTTCTTCTGCTTCTTCAAGCACTCGTCACATATGGATTCTATCTCCTTCCTTTCGACCGACGACCCGGTCCCGCAAGCGCCCATGGCACCGCCGTTCTCTCGTGCCTTGGCACAGGGAATGTCGTCCCACTCATCCTTGAGGTGAAGGTAGCACTTCCTGCAGGAATACTTTCTTTGGACTTTCATACACATGTTTGACGGGTCAAAGGTGATTTCTATATGCTGAACTGTTATATTGCTTCGTTTTGAAAGAGATTTCCTAATCTTGAGGTGTTTGTTTTAGGTGGGAAAGATTCTGGGAATGGATGGTTGGTATTTATACTATTTACTAATGTTCGATTCACTGCAAGATGACTTGGATTAGCTGTAATGGGAATGGAACAGTTTTGCGAGCACCTGCAATTTTGCTATCATAACATCACACATCGTCTGACGAAAGCCATACTCTGGTGAATACGGCAATAATGCTCAGAGACAGAACTCAAGCGCACAGCAATCCATGTTTATATCTTGAGCTACCTAGGTTCTGTTGACTTTGAGCCATTGGCATGGTGGAGCCATGAAATACACTACCTGCAACCCTTGATAAGCAGTGATGTTTCCTGGAAACGAGGTGACAGAGAATAGAGCAGAGCAAGCTCCTTGGTTTTGAAGGTGTGTATCTAATCACAGGCTGGCCTATCCATGACGAGGAGGCTGTCAAAGAGAAAGATCTGTGGCTTATCACTGCCACATTCACAACAACCGGCCAGGCCTTTTCAGTGCTCGACTTGGCTGTTTCTGAGACCTATATCTGCCTAGACGTAGCTATTCGGGGAGCTGCCACAGTTGGGTTGATGGCAGGCTTCAGGAACCACGAGGGGCAAAGTAGTGGGTGGATTGTGCACACAGATGAACAAAATGGCGTAGTGTTTTTCGCCTCTGGCATCTATTGCAAGTATTATATGGCAAGGCGCATCTCATTTGAGCTTCAAGTCATGATCCCACGGAAGTCCATGATAATCTGACGAGTATCTTGTACGTTTGTTTAGTAGTTGACTCCTATCCAAAGCCAGGATTGACTTCCGAGGCTTATGCGTTTGCCATCTGTCTAAATCTCGGCTCAAACATATTCAGCCAAGGTCTCTCCTGCCGCAAAGACGCCTCGGCCATCTGTTCCAAGAAGTCTCGGATCCCATTGTATGGGTAAACAGTAAAGTCCCATGCAGTCCAACTAATAAGTCCCCATTCGAGGTTGCTGAAGTTTTCCATGCTCCCGTACGTCTCTCGAACAAGTCGGTCAAGCTCACGACGCTGAGTGTCATTCCTTTCCTCGTATGTCTTGAAGAAGTAATCTTTAGCTGGTTGAAGCAGATCCTGACCTATGAGGAAGAAATGGCCAGCCCTTTCTTCATGGTTGATATCACCCGAGAGACAGATACACCTAGCCTTTTCGATCTTTGGCCACTCTAGCATGTTTTTCGTCCATACTAGTGGCTCTCCGTCTTTAAGAACAGGTAGTTCATTGCCTTCAAGGAAGTCAACCTCTTGCCAGTTGACATACTGGGCACCAGCCAGGTAGTCTACAAGATTCTGGCCATCCCACATTGAATCAAGACCATTTGTAATGCTGAGGAACTCTTTATAGTCTTCAGGAAGAGTCACGCCTAGCCGTTCCTCCAGAGCTCGTATACCCGCAACGGTACATCCCCATTCAAGTAGGCCATCGGCATTTTTTGGCCGATTCCGGAGGTTACCAGGCGGACGATAGGCATCCAGCCTGTCGTAGGGGCAGTTTTTGAACGTATTCTCGCTGATAACATGGACCAGCTTCTCAATGGATTGACCTGCATATCGGCGTCTCGGTCCACCCTCCAGGCGACTCTCAATCATTTTACAAGCACGAGTCACGGCTGGCCGGAGCTTGGCTGCGTGAATGTTGAGAAAGTCCAGGATGGGTCGCTCGGGAACGGCAAGAATCTGTTTCCACGCCTCTCTAGAGCAGACGAGCTGTTCAACTTGTTCTTCGGCGTGAAAACGATCGCACATTCTCATGAATAGCTCTCGGGCCTTATCCTCAATACCCAGGCGCAGATATATATCCAGGGCAATCATCAAACCAGCGGTGCGGTACAGTTGAACAAATGGGTAGGGGAAAATGCCTTGACGCCACCACATGGCTATCTTCAGGTATCTGACAGTCATTGGCCCGTTTGGACTCGCCGAATATGAGAAGAAAACCATTCGCGGTCATGGCTTCTGCCTGTGCGACCTGTCCAGCGAGTGTTCCATTGTAGTCTGGCAGGGTCGTAGTTAAGCCGTTATACGCCATGTCCAAAGCTTTTTCGGCGGTATCTTCTGTGACTGTCCATTCCTGACTGAATCGCTCGAGCCAGTGTTTTCTTCCTTCGACCTCAAGCTCTTGAAGCTTTTCTTCTGTGCGTTCCTCCTCAGGAATCCATGAAGGCCATGACGACGTTGCGTCCCAGGCGAAAAACATGCAAGGCTTCAAGAAGGGATAATTGGAATCAGAGTATTTGAACGGATCAAAACCTCTACTTGTAAGTGCTTCGAGAAGTCTGGTTGCACCGTCGACTTCGCCAACTACCGCAAAATTCACGGCGGTTTGGATGATTCTTCGAATGGCTTCAGTGAGGGACCATTCATCGGCAATCGACGGTTCATCGTCGACGTGACGAAGAAGGAACTCAAATCTAAGATGTTCGGGCTCGATGTCTTTGGGTCTCGTCGCCATATTTTTGGGCCTTGAATTGTGATTAAACGCTTGTGTGAGGTTGTCAGAAGCAAGCTTACGCGTGAAGTTTTCGTGTTGCCTTGCTCAAGGCGTGTGACGTCACAAGTGAGCTGATCATGCAACTCCAGCTGACAGAAAGTCCAAAGAATTATGTGAGATATAATAATTATCCCATCGATTTTATAATATGGGACTAACACAAATTTGGTGTGGAGTCTCTGTGGAATGTCGAGGCTGTCGACGCTTAAGAGGTCGGGCATTTCTCCAGGATCTTCTAACTCTCCTCTCCTTATATCAATCTAGTCACGAGTTGAACTGGCTTTTGTGTTGTCTCGCAATGATCCATGGTCCCCATGATCTGATGAGTTCCAACTCAGGGCTCTTAGGATGTCGCCTTGGACATACGGAAGCATACTCTCCAATTTGACTCCTGAAGTCGTAAACGCCTCTGGCTTCTAACTGCAGGTGCTCTCGACGCCTTGAAGAGAAGGATGCATGGCGAGGAAGGCGACAGCCTGTCCATCGTCCTCCTTGCTGAGCGCTTTCCTGACTGATTGAGTTTCCGATATTGCCCAATCTTCGTCTCAATTCTTCCTCTCTTCCTCTTCTTCTCTTCACCAGCAATCATCAAAATGAATTTGTAAGCATCATCGCAGCTTGGCCATCGATCAAGAAACGCTGACCTTTTACAGCTTACTCCTCAAGTTCCAGCTTACCAGACCCGTCGCCCTGGCTACTGCGGATCCGTAAGTCTCGCCTCGATCCCTTCCGTTCCTTCGCTAACCTCGCAGCGCAGACGATGGTTACCCGAAGGCACACATACAGTGGAAAGCAGCGGACTGCTTGTGATCACATCTTCCAGTCACGACAGTCATGGGTTTCGGCATGATCAATTTTCGGTATGGACCAGCGGTCGTGGACTACTGTTATTTTTGTTGGTACTGTTGGTGCTTGGGTTACCGTCTTGGCTGTCCTGGTTCCGGGAGCTTTGAATCTCGAAAATAACCGCAACGACATGAATCGCCTTGACGTTTTCTCTCTTCTACAGGAGTGGTCTTCCGCAGCTTTTACTCGAATCTCATCATGCTAGCAATAGATGAAGTCAATAAAGATACTACCGACTTACACAAGCAAGTACACCATTCGCCCGCTGAGACTGTGTCTTCAACTTCACGTTTCCTCCTCATTCCTTCATTCCTTCACCTGAGGCCATGCAATGAGACTCGAAAGATCATGGAGCCTCCTTTTCTCTCGCCCCGCGTGCATTCGCTATGAATTTAGCTGCAACACTTTTCACTCCTTCATCTCAGGAGCTCTTCTGCCTTTTTGTCTCCACTGCTTACCATCATCGATTTCTTTCATGCTTCTTTTTATTGACTTGTTCGTCTGCCGGCCAATAACTCCATGACATACATGTTCTCCACCCGAACTCGTCAGGAGAATGACGACTGATTTCCCACTGATCAGACAATGCGATACTCAGCGAAGTCGATCTTCTCTTCGAGTGCTTTCGCAGCGGCCTCTCCGTCCATGATCCCATGTACGTAGCTACAACACTTTAGCGCAACTGAGACTGCAATTGTATAGAAGCATGACACGTACCATTCGCCAATGTAGATCCAGGTCTCATGCGCACTCCTCCTCAACGCATAAGCCACGGATCCGCCCAACAGGAGGCAAATGGCGTCACCGGGCTGGATATCTGGCGGAACTAGTCCCATATAACCCTTTTCTGTCCTGAAAAAACGCCGATTAAATTGCTCAATCAATCGAAGTTGCCGGTATATAGGCAGAAGGCATGACTCCCATGTGCTTAGCAAGCATTCCGTTCCCTCTGGAGTTTCGAGTTGCAACAGATCCTGCAGATCGTTCTTGTCCAGTCTTTTAGGCCTGCCGCCTTTCTTTGAGGCTAGTCGGCCTTGGTTTAAGTCAACCAGAACTGTTCTCCAGAAGGCTATAGCCTGAGTTTCGCCTGTCACATAGCTATCATCAGGTGAAAGTAAGGATCTCCAATGGTTCAGCGTGTCTCTCATCGATTTCCTCCAGTGTTCAGGGTCTGTCTCGCCTACATTCTCAAAATCAGGGCCCGGGGCCTGAGTTCCGACGATAGAGACAGAATCAAGGCAAATGCCTTTGAGTATTAACACGCTGTCATCCTTATCTGTTGCTATGTCCGGAGGAGACCTTTTCGGGCTCAGAAATGCCTTGTAGATCGACCATTTGTTGAGAACTTTGGACAGCGAAGTTATGTAGTCCCTGAATGGCTCGGAGTGGAGTTCGAAGTCAGGGACCCAGGAAGCCAAGGTTTTGTTTCGAGACTTCCTCTTCTCGGAGATCAGGCCAAGGCAGTTGAGGTTGCCATCCTCGACAAGCGCGGCTCGCATCGCGACCCTATACACCTTTCGACTGGCCATGAGTATTCTGGCTTGAGACTGTCGCGAGGCTCTATTATACCCAACAGACCAATGACCTTATCTCTCGGATCCGAAGACGCGCGATTCCAGGTCGAGTAGAGCGCCATTGTCAAATCCGATTTTCCCTTGAGCAACCATATCTTTGCGCAAATACTCTACAAGCATCAAGGCGCCTAGAGTCATGTCTCTGTGGGCCAGTGCACCTTTGTGAGCATCATGATTCACTAGGTGATATAAGAAATGTGACAAGCCCAAGAGATATTCGAAAGGAAACGTTTTCGAGCCTGACCAGCAGATCACGTTTGGGCAGAGGACACTTTCTTGCAGTGTCCATATTCTTCTCCACCAGCTGTTGGCGAGTAATGCTACAGAGTAATTGAATGCCGTAAGTGCTCCTGGGTCATCAAGGAGTTTCAGAATGGGCGCGTAAAACTCGTGAAAGGGCGTAGAATCGGGATACATTGAAGTAGTGCGTGCATCCCGCGATGGAGACTGTTGATAACTTGTGTCATGGAAGACAAGGGTATAAAAGTTGGTCAGGAAAGCAACACCGGCGTCAGAGTTTGTATCCGCAGTCCCAAGCCAGACGTCGACGGCTTGAGCTTGTGAGTAGATTTGGTTCATTTGCAGGACTTGGCGATTCCTCTCTCCTTGGTCTTGCTGATTAATACAGACGGCGTCGACCCAGATGAGTTTTTCCACATGAGGCTGTCGAAATGCGCTGAGAGCTGCATGCAAATTTGGTCTCACTTTAATGACAGTCCCGTTGACTAGCAGTTGCTTCGTCGCATCTTCATTGCCCCATGTGTAGGAGATGGCTTCATACTGAGGGCAGGCAGATAGCTCGTGATGATGCAGCTCGCATGAGATGTTGGATGTCTCGTCATGCGAGGGAAGGATTCTCAGCAGTCGGAACCAACCGTTTGATGGGAGTGGTGAGTAAGTGAAAGGTTGTTCCATTTGGCGGGAGCGAGACTGATGAGCGTCGAATCTCGGGTAGTGGATGATGGAAAATAGCGCATCAAACTTGAGAAAAGATACTTCCGCTTTTTCAGATGCTCCTCTTGACCAATTTCACGCACAGTGACACAAAGTCACAAACGCAGTGATTTATTCCCAAGAGCTATTTCGTGAGTTGATGTCGCCAAGCCTACGGTAGTGACGCGTCGTGTTTGTTGGTGTCTCGCAGGCTCAGCACAGGCCGTTTCGATTCTGACAAGCCTCAGAGAGCTCACAAGCGCGGATGCAGGCTGACCAGTCCATGATGCAGCTGCGCAAACAATTACATCCACGTAAGTAATTGCAACTATCAAGAAACTAGGGGGAAATAACAATTAACCACAGATTGTGTAGCCGAATTAGGCCATGGAGAAGCGGGTAACGGTCATGACTGTTTGTAGGAACACAACCAAGTCTAACTGCTACGGTGATGCAAGGTGATTCATTAGAAGCCAATGTCAGCTAATATCCCTATGGAAGACAAAAAAGCACAGATAACATATCTTCCCATCCTCGTAGAAAGATCATCGAGTGATCTGATAAGTCCATGACTACGAAAAGGCTGTTCTGTTGGTGACAATGAATTCAATCTCCCCCTCAATCTACATCCTACCCTGCATCTTGCGTGGGCTCGATCGTCGGCGCGGGGTTGCATGGGTAGTAGGATGGTTGACCAAGTCAACTGTCCCTGAGCTAGCGATCATTTGCTCTCAAGTTACGGGGATTCCACATCCCGAGCGGGGACAGGATGGATGTAATTAACAGAATCTTCACCATTTAGCTTCATTTTGCCACGCGACTTAGACAGGCAGAGTGCCGAAGTCTTAGAAGGAGAGCCTGAGGTTTGCCTCAACAAGATAGCTCTTGGCCTTTTGTCCGAAGCTGTTTACGATGAATCAGGTTCACTCAATGCGACACTGCACCAGAGCCTAACAGAGCCTGCGAAGGTGCCAGGCTGGGGTCTGCTCGTAGTTCCTCAGAGTCAACACCTTCTCTGCCAGGTCAATTACCAAGCTCCACCTCGTACCCAAAGCAAATGACATCAAAACCTCCAAAGAAATCACCACTTTCTAACGTCTCAACGCTTTTCACAGCCCTCGTCCAACTTGGCACGGCAAAGAAGCCCCCTACTAGCAAACCCGGAACCCAAACTAAGCCTGCCGTAATGACTCGAACATACACGTGCCGCCCACGCGGAACTGGCGGTTAGCCATACAAAAACGAGCCCCTATCCATTAGCACGGAATAATCTTATACGCCATCTTCACCTAAAAAATGCTAGCGAACGGCGGTCCGCCACTGCGAGCACTTCTCATTTGCTCATCTGGTAGATCTGTGGATTCACCATCTCGGTCTATTCACCAGACTGCCGGGGCTTCTGGAACCTCTCGCCTCTGAAACCCCCATCATGCAAGATTCCGATCTACTTCGGGGGCTTGGCAAGGATTTGCCATTCTTTTTTTCTTGCTTAAAGACCGTCTTCCTGTCGCAACCCTGTCTACTCGTTCTCCTTGGCTGTTTGCTTGTTTCTCTTTGTTGCAGTCACCATTCCCTGATTGGATTCAGCACTCACAATGGCGGGATTCTTGATACCGGATCACTACGTATACGTGAAGCCCAGCACTACCGATCAATTAGTCGCCAGTATCATCTGGGGCTTTACTCTCGCTGTTGGAATCTTCGCGGGCCAGAAGGCGGGAAGGCAGACATGGGATCAGTGGAAGCGCACAGGACGGGCTAAGGCCTATGTCTGGATGATTTGGGCCGAATGGTTGGCGTCCATGTTGATTGGAGTCTTGTCGTGGTGTTTTATCCGTGGCTACATTGCTCCCAGGTATGTCGCCCGTCCCGCCAAATTAAACAACAAAGCTGACCAGTAATTCTTAGCTTCTGGATCTTCTTTGTTCTCCGTACGATACATGCCCCGAACGTTTTACGAACTCGAAACTAACTGGTCTTTTAGTGTGCGCCTGGGTCGTCCAAATTCAATGCATCTGTGGAATCATCATCAACCGGATTTCTCTTCTTATGGTCGACAGACGAAACGCAATCAAGATCCGATGGATAACTGCCATTACCCTTGGCCTCATCAACATCAGTGTCTTTTGCATCTGGATTCCTTCTCAGCTGCAAATCTCCCAGCGTTACCATGATATCAACTACATCTGGGATCGCATTGAAAAGGGTCTCTTCCTGGTCATCGACGCAACGCTCCACGGCTACTTCGTCTACCTGATTCGTATCAAGCTCATCGCCAATGGTCTTACCAAGTATACGCCTCTGATGCGATACAATCTTGTCATGATTGCTATATCCATGAGTTTGGACGTCATTCTCATTGGCAGCATGTCCATCGGCAATGGTTTCATGTGAGTCGTCACTCCAAATGGCTGATGCTAGGCCTCAATAACTGACTCGCATAGTTACGTGCAATTCCACCCTCTTGTCTACATGCTCAAGCTTCACATTGAGATGAACATTTCCGCACTCATCATTCGAGTTGTTCGTGCGACCGGAGATCACAGCTCGTACCCCTCTGGTACCGATCTGCGCTCCAAAGTCAGAGCCGCCGTCACGAACAAGAAGTCGGGTAACTCCAATCACACAGGTGGCACAGGGAAGGGCGCCATGTTTTCGTCGACGGGAAGAAACTTGGAAGTGCGCATTGACGCAGGCGGTCAGATAACCGACAGCGAAAACAGACCTCAGCCAGCGGGTATCACAAAGGTCACACAGTCGCATGTAACAGTCATGCCCAAGCACGAGGAGGATGATGCCAGCTCACAATCCTCAACGCGGCACCTGAAGGATCCTTACTCGTATCCCTGATTCACTATGGCTGACGGAGATGGAGGGGAGACTGGGAGTTGAAGGATGGAGACGGCATTTCAGTGACATTCTCTGCTTGCCAAGCATAGCGAACATACGCCACAAAACGTGGCTCGGAGATTATAGAAATTTGAAGGCCCTAGAGTCATAGAAACGATCACTAGCATAACGTACTCAATTAATTAATAATGGATATCTCGACTCTGAAGCGCGACATAAAGGAGAAATGGATTCGGATCCAGCAGCTAAGGTTTTTTCGCCGACATGATCTGCGACCGGGTTGCCCTAGCTCGGCATAGGCTCGGTGAGCTTCGTGGAGTAGCTCCGGTGAGACACTCTGCACAACGGGGCAACGCTCCTAATAACTCAAGTCAGCTTATTCAATTTAAGCCCAACCTCCTGACTTACAAGTTAGGAAAAATCGCCATAACTTAAGTCTATAAAGGTCCTAACTTATAAGTCTATAAGTCTATATAGTAATATTAATAATATATATATACTTCTTATTTTTTCTAATTTTTAGGCCCTTTTTATAATAAAAATAGTATATTTAAGGTAGGATTTTTAGTATTACTAATCTTAGTTAGTTAAACCCTAGTAAAATCCTACTTCCTTATATTAATTTCTTATAGTATACTAAAAGAGCTAGCTTTTTTTAATTATTACTAAATTACCTTTTTAACCTTTTTTTTAATTATATTTTCTTTATAATACTATAAAAATATTAAT